TTGAGTGTCTATAAAAAATAACAAGGTCTTCCACAGAAGTATGTTTATGGTAGGGGAGCTGAATATAACCAGGGCGCAATAAGCAGTAAAAGTTTTGAAATTCATTTTAAATCTGAAAAAAACATAAATGTAAAAATCTTATTTCCGGTGTGACACAATCTTCATGTTATATAACATCCGTTTGCATGAATTTGCATCAGTTCATTATAAGACCACTGCGGGACATCTTTGTGCGTTGAAACGTTTTGAATTTTTTTTTCACGCATTGTAAGCGAAATTGAAATATTACACTTCGTTAAAACAGTTTACTGAAATAACAATAAGTAACAGTACACAGTAAATTTATTACAGGTGAATTCCATTCCAAAAAGAAATTTTCACAAGTAATGAGCTCACGCGCGCTCTGTTGTCGTTGGCCTCGCTTAGTTGAAATACAGAAATTATACATTTATTTTTATCATCTGCACCCGTCTAGACTCTAGATATAAATAATGGTAGTATCATTATTTTATCTATACTTCTAGACATCATACAGTAGATGAACAGTGCGTAAACCGATAATGTTCAGAGCGAAAAATTCGAAATGAAGTTGCACGCCAGAGCGTAAGTAGGGTTTGCTTGATTTATTCATGAATAAAATTTTGTAATTATTATTATTATTTGCAAATAATGGTAATGATTGTAATTTTTTCATTATTTTGTTGCGTAGTAGAATTAATTATTTATACTTACATTTGCAATGCTTCTATCATATTTCGTTGTACTGGTAAAACAGCACTTGCCCTGCCGCCATCTGTCGGGCTAAAAGACGGTATTTGAAAATTATGAATAATTTCTTAAACGTCAAATGGACAGCGAGTCTTCCATTACACGAAAAAATGCTACTTATGTAATGTTATTGAAAATGTCTACTCTACTAGTTGTTTTTCGGTAGCGAATGTAAACATGTCGAAGAAATCGAGGTTACTTACCACAAATACAGATATGGCACTGTTTTGGCAGCGCGGCACTGAGCGCCTCCGGAAGTGTTTGTTATGAATGAAACATAAGATAGCCACATAATATATCCGAGGTACTAAGAAACTTGTATTAAGATTCCGTTTTGTTTACTACATGTGCGTGGAAAATCCCTGTGAAACCGCTCGCAAAAGACGGACATCGTTCGAATTAAGCTTTTCAAAAACAAGCATTCGAGAACATGAAATGCTTTATAAAGCAGATGTTCAGAGCACCATGGCCATCATACACTGAGCTAGCTAAGAGTCAGCACATTGTTAATTAAATTTCGACGATTTTTGTTTCTTTCTCGACGCGCTTCTTACAGTAACCACGATGGTTTCTTTTGGACGACTGCTTGTTGTGTTGACCCTGTGCTTGGCGGTCTTTGCCGGTTTTATCGAAGCCGGAAAGAGCAACAAGAACAAGCCGCTACCGGATCCGAAGGACCCCAAGAACAAACCGCTGCCTCCCCTGCCTGTAGACAAACCGCTCCCGAAACCACCGTCCATTACCGAACAAGCCAGGAGGCAAGGCCAGCATCCTTAAGGTTATGGATGCCCAATTTTGGTTGTACAGTCTGCCATTATCCCTGATGAGTGACACTTTTTTATTAGAACCATGTTGATACCCTTATTTTAAGGTTACCATCGATTTTGCAGACTGGAGTGGTCTGGAACGTGCTTATTTTAAATTGTCTTATCCGATATTCGGATTTATTTACTCGACTTTTGTCGTTTATTTCGCCAATATACGAGTACATATTAAATTATGCTGTTTACAACAGCATATATTCTGAAAGTAAATTCAATTTTGCAAGTTTAAATAAAGTTAGCTCTGTTCACTGTGCTACTGCTGTGTGGCCAATTCGTCGACTTCATTGTACATGAAATGCCGTTGATAATCCGCCATGCACAATAAAAAAGGTACATGTAATCTGTATGCCGTCAGTGCCCGCTTCCAAGTACCGCTTGAATATTGCAGATGTTACATACTGTACCTTGTACAAGCAACAAAACAAAACAGCATACAGTACCTACGAAGGACGACGAAATAATATCCCAGATAGACGATTATGTAACCATACGTCAGATGTAACACCTATCATGCTCGTATACAACACGTTTCAAACCGGATCCACAGTCCGTACACAGGATCCTCAGATCTTCAAGTGCCTCAATCGTCTCGGTGCGAGCGGCAAAATCATTCTGTCTCTAGTCGCGTTTGCAGATTAGAAACGAGCTTTCGCGTTCTATATCAACGGTATTAATAATATCAGTTATCTGACGTGATCATGAGCGCCTTTCGCGAGCCCTTCCCCTCTCAGCAGCGTCGCCTATCGTGGAGCCTGCAGTACACTATCCCCACGGAGCACTTCATCCAATCTCCTCTATTACAAGGGAACGCCAAGAAGAGAACCAGCGGGACTTGGTTCGTGGCCGAATTTCGTGTGGACCGCCAGCGCGACTATTCCGAGATCCCGTCCTCCATGTGGAGCGTGCAGTTGGCCGTACAGCCGTGGACCAAGAAAGTGACGGCGCGGGTATTTCCCCAGAGCGACCACAAGCAGATTGTGTCGGCTAGAAACTTGCTGATCCATTGCACTGTACGGTACGTGACAAATAATAATGCTGATGGTTCGGTAGTTTGTAACAAAGGTTAATAAACGAACCGAACGAGAAAAGGCGGGAAGTCAGCGTGACTTGCAGCATTTAGCCATCGCGTTTACCGGGAATTATTATAGCGCTCATTTTAAATATACTCAAGTTAATACTCATTAATATAGTCTTACTTTTAATAATTACAAATATTATAAAGGTAGCTCAAAGTGAAACTACAGAAGAATTTCGCTCAATATTCACTACGCCAAGTATGCGCTTATTGCCGACAAACTATTGACCTTTGCAGAGCAAAAGGTGGCGCTAACTCCACCGTGAAAATCGGCCCGAAGGGATGGACGGACATGTCTTCCGAACAGCGCAGCGATGACCTCTCCACCCTCGTCGAGCCCAAAGGCACGGCCCTCCGCAAAGGCCAGATGGTCGTGGTGATCATGACGTTCGAAGTCGCAACGCCCCGCGCTGATCTTCTGTCTCTCCTGTCGCTGGGGCCTTTCGCCGACGCCACCATTATCTCGAGCGATAACCGCGTTTTTCCGGTTCACCGCGCCATTCTTTCTTCCGCCTTCCCTGTCTTCGATCTTCTGTTCGCGCACGATGTACCCGTGAAGATGACGGGGGCGTGCAAGCTGCCGGATATCGACGGGGAGCTTTTGGAGATGATGTTGCGCTACGCCTATGCCCGGGGGCGGCCGACCACGGAAGACCGGATTGAGGAATTGTGTTCAGCGGCTCAACGGTACGGTATGGATGGTTTGCGGACGGCGTGTGAAGAGGTCCTGGCGGGGAATGTCCGACCGGAGAATGCCATGTACTATGTGGCAATGGCCCGACAGATGGGTTTGCCGGCTTTAGAGAAGCACGCCGCGGCGATGGTGCCGGACCGGGATACCCTGCCCATCTCCGATTACCTCCTTATTCATCCGGATAGTGAACGGTTTTGGTAATAATGGTGTGGCTCGTTCGACTTTGTACGTTTTCTTCGTTTCTCCTGCGTGAATATGTTTACGCGATATTAGTTTTTGTTCTGGTCAAGCTGTGTAGCACACTCCCGTGTTTCTTATGTGAGTTATGTGAAAACTTGTCAACCCATGATGAAATCAATATCGTACGTTAAATGCTTCGCAGCCAAATATGATAAGGGGGCCCGCGCTCAAGCTCGGACTTGGACTACTAAAACTTGGACTAGGACTTCACTTGGACTCTAAAACTTGGACTTCACTTGGACTCTGAAACTCGGACTCGATGCCTTAGACTTGGAGTTAGGCGTTTCTCATGTCTTCCTACGTTTCTTCATGTTTTCTCAGGTTTCTTAAGTTTCTGAGGCTTCTTCGATTTTCTTAGGTTTGTTGGGTGTTTTTATGTTTCTAAAGTTACCAGTATTTCTTAGGTAATCTAGGTATTCTTTGGTATTCTGAGAAACCCAAGAAACCTAAGAAACCTAAGAACACCAAAGAAACCTAAGAATAACCTAAGAAACCTAAGAAAACATGAAGAAACGTAAGAAGACATAAGAAACGCCTAAATCCAAGTCCGAGTTTCAGAGTCCAAGTGAAGTCCAAGTTTTAGAGTCCAAGCGAAGTCCGAGTTTTAGAGTCCAAGTGAAGTCCATGTCCAAGTTTTAGTAGTCCAAGTCCGAGTTTGAGCATGGGCCTGATAAGGGCTATCATTACATAAAAATTAGCTTTATTTTGGAAATTTATTTTGATAATTACAGTTCACACATACAACTCGTAATACAGAAAAGTAAAAACGCCGTTTCTAATTTTGTTTGAAACACAAATCCTAATAAAAGTTACAGACTTTGTTTCAACCGTTCACGCACTAATCGGCAGCGAACCTTCCGCCAATAAGTGCCATTTGCCGTTCAGCCAAATAAATCCTACCGGTAATAATTCAGGGTTGATTGTGCAGCACTAAATTAAGTCTTTACAAGGTTAAATTTCAATGTAAAGTTGGATAATTATTAAGTACTAATTGATTATTACAAAGACACTCCATCAGAAATGTAAGGACTGTAACGGCTGGTTAAGTTAACCATTAGTGTACACAGTAGTAAGTACAACGGTGAACTTCCGCTCATGCAGTTTGTATGGAGCTGGCTTTTTGTGTTGAGAACTCCATTAAATTTTGGACATAGTACGTACGTACAAGTTGTACGGTACAACTGGAATAATTATTATCAGCTTGAACTGGACAAATTGAACAGTACCTGTTGCAGTCCTGTGTAACGGACAGCTGTACGTACGAGTGTAGCGTCCACTGCACACCGGCTATGCGCAAATAGCCTATTGCGCAACCTGAACAAGAGAACAGAGAGCGCTCATTGTCAGCAATCTGAATCAGCATCACGATGCTCGCTTATCACTTTCGCTCATCGTAAGTTTATCGTCGATCTGGCCCTTCTACCGTCCAGCTTTTCGCGCATCCTTTTCTGAAGTTCTTCGGTTATTTTTTCTCTTGCCAGTGAAACTTTTCATCTACTTTTCTCCGCAAACCATCACTTATTTCCAACACAATGTCTAACGTTTTATTGGAAACTGACGGTGCAGATTTGCCGTGCTTTTTCCATGATTTACCCGACGAATCCGTGCTGCACATCCTCGCGTTCCTGGATATCATTGATCGTACCAACTGCACGGTGTAAGTTGCGTTCTGCATCACCAATTACAGCCTGGCTTTGCTGGAGCGCCTTTATCATTAAAATTCTATTAACAGGGTGTGCAAACGATGGGCGGACATCAGCAAGGACCCGCGCCTGCAGAAAACCGTCATTTTCGATCTGACCAAATGGGAGACCCACCATCCCTTATCCCTGTTGCCACGCCCACCTGTTCCCGATGCGGAAGCGCGACGGGAAGCGGCCCAGGTGGAGAACGAGTGGCGCCGCCAACTTCTGCAGCGTTTCTGGACAGCCAAGACCCGCCATGTTATTTTCCGACGCCCACCCGGGACGGCGGTCCCAAACGACTGCTGGATCAAAATGGGCATCCGGCCGGGCCCGCCAGGGGAAGGGGAAGGAAGTGGGGAGGAGGTGGCCGCTGGCTGGCATTTCTTGTGGGGCAATATTTATCACGCGCTGCTGGCATTAACGAAACTGCTGCCTGCCGCTCCCGAGGGCGGTGCGCCAGACGGCACGGAGTGTTTGGTCACGGTGCAGGATGTCCATATGCTGACCGGGGATCTCAGTGATCTGTTGCCGAAATATGTGAAGACGGTGCATCTGGAGAATGTCAGCATGAAATGCTACTTCTACACGGGATTCTTCCATCCTCTCGATAAGCCACCACAGGTGAGCGATCGTCGATCGCAGGCAGCAGGAAATATGTACATGTGTAAAAATTTAGATATTGTATTAAAATTTATTATCTACAGGTGTATTATAATACGTGATTGCACTGTATTAGTAAGTACAAAAGTTTGGTACTTATTAATACAGTGCAATCACGAGTCTATTGTACGAGTGCGTTCGCGATTCATCGCCGATAATCATTAATTTTAATTATTTTAATATCTATATCACCGTACCATTTCTTGATATTTTCTTCCCTACAAATTTTGTTTTTTTGTTTATATTTTACAAAATTATTTTGTTAATTTAAAAAATTTATTTACAACGTAAGAAGCCTCCGGAGTGCAGAGTATGGTACTTCCGGTTAAACTCGCACCACTGTTACCATTGTAATATTATATTATTGATTATTATTATGACTTTGTTTTTAATAAAGTTAGAATATTGTGCATTTGCAGTACTAGTGATATTTTTGCGTGTGTTAGGTAACGCGCACAGTGCTGGTGGACAAAGCTGTGGTGATGCGGGAGAACGGCGAATGGCCGTGGCTGGACGAACCGGCGGCGGACTTCTCCCACTTCCTCACACAAATCCGGCGCCGTAAAATGGAATTCTTCAGCCGATTCCTACCGCCTTCTATGACCGCCGACGAACGGCATTTCCTGGAGGAGAAACTGCAGTCGGCTGAGCCGATCGGCTGGACGCTGTCCTGCTTTCTTCGGAAGTAAGTCGAGACTCTGCCTTCACTTCGTAAAGGTTTTACGTTTACGCTGTTTATCTGCACGGTTTTTGTGTGATTTGCTATGTTGTAAAAATTCATGCCACGTTTTTTTAAATTCAGTTTATCAAATCAAAAGGAGCTTTTTCTATTTGTATTCAGTAATAAAGAAAAGCAAGAAAAACCTGTAAAGAACATTCTACAGGGATAGACTATGTAAAGAAATCGTACTGGAGCTTTTTCAGTACCGGTACAGTAGTGTTAAGCGCAGAATCAACTTGTGAAGTGCGTGCATCGTACTATGTACACCCGAGTTGGTGAATGTGGGCCGTTTTAACGCATGATATTCAATGATTCTACCCGTACAGTTACGAATTTGTATCGTGTTACAGGGGCGTCCAACTGCTGGGCGATGACGACATCCATCCACTGGCGCCCATCAACACCCTGGGGCTGACGCTGGATCGCGTTGGCACGTTCCCGCGCTGGTTGCAGTATCTGATGGTGGAGCTGCTGAAAGACCCGTCCATCGCGATTTTTCCCAATTTGTAATGCAGCTTCGTAGAGTACTAAACGGGTGTTAAAGTGGACAGTTTTACCATACAAAATTGTCCGGTGTAGAGTTTTTATTAAAGTTACATCCTCGAGCTGGATGCGGTTTCTGAACCAGCTTACCAAATTGCCAATTTTGACCATTTTTTTTCTGTCATGATCCGGCAGTCTGTTCTTTCTTGGTTTTGCTCACTGTTATTTTACAGTACAGATATACGTACAACATATCTATTAATTTTTGGATGTTGAAATTATAAAGTAATTTTACAAGCAATAGACTTTTGTCATTGCATAACGCGTTTCGTATAAGTATTGATTGTGACAAGTGCTCACTGTGTAATAATGCTTCTGTGGTCACCTTCTGGGCATTCACATTCGCGAGGCTCAGTTATGCACGACAGAGAAGTGTTTATACTCACGAAAATCAATAAAAAAAGTTTTTAAAATGAATACACTTTTCATACGATTACTTTTTCTTTCTATTTGTAGTTTTTTGTTATCGGTTGTACCGCGATCGATCGTACCAAGGGAAAAAATTTCAGAGTAAAAACAGATGTTCTACTCGTATAACCATGGTTGTTTTACGAAAACCATCTTCATCCAAATTTTGGAATTTTTTTGGATATGGACAGATCCTGCATGGAAATGGCCTAATGCCCCTGTACTACGAATTCTGTCACTGCGACTATAATTTCTGCGCTCATGGTAAAGCGTGCGGTTATAAGGATGCCGAATTCAGTCATCACCAAAATAAATAAATAAGCCGAAAATATTAAGTCATCAATCACCACGACAGAATTAAGTAAATAATGTTCTTTCAAGCCATCCCAACGACAAAATTAATTAGAAGAAAAATGGAAAAATTAACCTATTTAAAAATCATTAAAAAAAAATCTGAAATTTAAAGCAGAGAAGAATCCCATGCAGTAGGATAACTGGATTGATATTTTATTACAAACAATTATTGTTCTAATTATATCAACCGTGTTTATTGCATTATAACGCGTTTATTATTTATACGTTTTGAGTACGTTATTTCAAATAATTCAATTTATTTTGATCTATTAATTTCAATCAAAAATTACGTAAAAAAGACTGGAAACGATTTTCTTCGAATTAAATACAAAATGTTAAATCGCGTACAATAAACAACTTAATCAAAACAGAAACACAAAACAGCAGCAAAGCATTTGTAACAGCAAACCAGCCGGGACGGTACCACGGCTCCGCCGGGTACCTGTACAAGCGTGCATATACTGATATACATAATTTATTTTAATACAAGTATACCCGTATCCAGCCGGGCTTCTTAGCGCCCGCAGTATGGACGGCTGCATAATATTATATGCACACGTGTACGAATGGCCCCGCAGTACGTACAAATTTATTCACTACGAGTACTTTTAGTTACTGCCCCAGCTTGGCCGCAATTATGTACGCGCAAATTATTTTACGTACAGTATATAAAGCCCGTAGTAGCCACAGCATCGAGCGTTTTGTGTGATCTTATTAAATTTTTACTTACAGTGAAGATCGATAAGGCTCTTTGCTTTACAAGTTTTATTATTATTATTATTTTATGATCCGATCATTTTATTACTTTTATTTTATTTTTGTCATCGTAATTTCTCTGGAAGAAAATACGGCAACCAGAAAAAAACTCCGAAATGAAAATCTAAAACATACGCTCATTAAATTCAACCGTCATGCCTCGCATACAACAGCTGTCATATCGCTCTAATAAGCACGAATTATACGCAATAAAGCAGCCGATGACCTTTACAGTACATCCTCAACTGCACTTCAAGTAACGCACTTTTGCAGTAAAACGGAGCAAGCTGCCAGCAAGAATAAAAGCCTGAAAATCAAACTTCGACCCCTGCACCAGCGGCAGCCCATTACTATAATTTAATTAATCGTCCACCATGTGCCGCATCGTATATCTGAATTTAAAGGGACTCGTCTGCCTCTTGTTGAGAAACCATCAGTCAGCGTTTACAACAGAACAAGGCTAACAACAGAATTACAGCTTCTTTATAGCCGCCACAAATGCGAAAATTATTATCATGGGGATCAGCCACACTGTACTAGGAGCAATGAAAGTAAACAGAATTTCCTACGCAAGATAAAACTGCGTTCCAGTGCTTACCATTTCGACAAACAAGAAACGACGAAGCGATGGTCGCAGTGGTTTTGTCATAGTCCGCACTGCGGCAGGGCACAAGCGAGTAAAATTAATGGATTATCAAAATACAAAGTAGCTTAGCCTGTGAAATAATGCAAACCCTAATTTTTTCAAAGCCAGTTTTAGTCTTCGTAGCATCCATCCAGTGCCGCAATTGTGACATGGGTCAAAACTGCAGTGTCCAGTTGGCGGGATCCATCGTATTCCAGCGCTGTGGGATGTCATCAGGATGGAGTGAACTGAACCTGTTAAATAAAAGTTTATCGCGTAGACGCATACAGCCAATTCAACCCACAACGGACGGTGCGTGACAGCTCAGTTGGTCGCGGGGCATTTCGTCGTGGGACATTTCGCCATAAGTATTTCGTCGCAGCGGCTAGTTTATTTTGGGACAACTTGCTCTGTTCTGTTGCTACTTTTCATCTAGACTCGTTCTTCAGTCATCTTGTTGTGTGGCATTTGGTCGCGCGACTTTCGGGGTGTCGAAAAGTTGTCGACTGGTGTATGGCAACAAACAGTCATAATTATGACTACTTACCACAAAAACGAGTTGTCCTTAGACGAAATACCCGCACAACCAGATGTCCCGCGAGTCCGCGACGACCTGTCGCGTAGCCGGACAGTGATCTACTTTAATTGCACTATCAATTCAATCAGACATGAATGACTTCATTTATTTTTATAGCGTCTTCGTACATCTGCAAGAAAACCCGGATGCCGCTCCACTGATTCGGATAGCCAATGTACGCGCCCAGCGTGCTTGGATCGCTGCGACCTTTTCATACGCCCCCGGACTGACGGCCGGACACTGGTCATTATACGGATCTGCTCAGCGGGTGTCTCGACGTAGCGAATGCGCAGACACCCGGAAAGTTAACCGTTTCCGTCACTCTCCATTTTGGCGCAGACAGAACTGATTGTGTCCAGTCCCACTCGTACGGACATTCGACAACCGACAAAGATGACAAAGACATCCGGCTGTCGGTGTTCCATACAGGAGAACTGCAAATCATCTACTCTCGCGTACCGATCAAATATGCACTTGACCTCGCTGAGATTTTCACTACTGTCCGACAAGACTCGACACGTACGCGCCAAAATCAATGGGATAAAATCCACGTCGGGCAACTTCGGCGCTTTGGGAAAGCTGATGACATATTTGTTGTACACGAGCCCCGCAGTTTCCTCGAAGAAATTTTCCCCATCATCCGGCATCGGTAGCTTGTCAAAGCAGTTGTTCCGATGAACGATGTGCTGTCGTCTGACGTCTGACGTCTGGTAAAGCATCATTTTCAGTTCGGTTCGATATCCGACGAAGCTGGTGCTGTGATCCCGACTATTGGTAAAAATCTACTCTAGCTACCGGTAGTCTCTAGATGACATTTAGAGTGTAAATGATGGACAATAAAACATATAACGTCGTTGTGCAAAACTATAGTCACTGATTTATGCAACTAGCACCGGCACCCCTTGAGAAAACTGTAAACAGACATCTGACAGGTATGTAGTAACTAGGGAAGTGCACCGCTGCAAGCTAGCACTAAAAGACCGAAGCGAAGCCAGAAAATTCCGAAAGATGGTCCATTCTGAACAAAATCTTATTTTGTATTACGAATTTTCGTCCTACTTTAGATTCACACTTTCACACTTCTAGTCAACATTAAAATCTGCTGCCTGTATTGTGCAGCTAGAATGGTTTGCCAACAGCCTCAGAACGAAAATTTATAGTAGAGCATTTTAGGGAAGAAGATTGACAAAAATTCCACAGATAAAACAGGTCCACGTATAGAGCACAAGCAGAGAAAAATTATCGAGTTGTGTCAGTTTAAAAACAATAAATACTGTATTTCTTCATAAGGAGTATACAGAAAAGCATTCGAATTACTTAACTAGGGAGTACAACGAGTACTTTTTACAATCATAAATCTTATTCCGTCCGTAAAAATACGTATTGACCCATTTAGGGAAGTATGTCGGTTCCTGGTACCATATTTTGTACACAAAGCACTTCCTTTAACTTACAGTACTCCCAAGTCCCAAACACTTTTATGGTACCAAAATTCTCCTTACAACTTTCCACCTGACATTCATTCATTATTGCTGACCGACGTTTTCATCAGATTTGGTCGCTCAGCTGACTGATGCAAAATCTGACTGCTAACTTCGGCAACGTGTGATTACATGGAAAGATTTGCAAAACTATAGCTATGTATAGGTCAACCGCACCTGGCCAAGCCAAACAAAAATTATGATCGTTAAGGTACATTAGTAGCCTATTACGGGCCCTAGTAAACACGTTGCTGCTACAATTATTAAGTAAAGAACTTACTCATTGACTCATTTCGCATAAAAGGCACTAAATAAAATCACTAAAGGGAAATAATCAATAAGCAACAGCAACAAATTACTACGATTTTCATAAAGAAAAACACGAAGAACTGGAATCGGACCGCCTGCAATGCAGAAGAAACCGGTTTTCCACGTTGACAAAATTGAATAAATTTCAAATTTTTATAATGTCGATTTGTTTTAGTAAATACACAGCAGTGAAAAACACACATGCTTTCACATAATATAGGGGGCAAGACCAGTCTACCCGAACCGTCTCCCTGCACTGCTGCCGTCACCCGGCTGGAGCTTAAACATAGTGCTCATGTACCGCGCCCGATTTAACCATATTACCTACTGCCGTAACATCCCATTCCAACCGGGTGACGGCAGCAGCGCCATGAACCGGCTCCAATAAGACGGTTTTCCCCTATATAACCTCACACTACTCTGTAATAATATTATAGGCTTTCTACTATTACATAGTGCGTGAGCAGCGTGACCGACGGACAGATTAGTATGTGACCGACATGACCGACAAAAACTCCTGTTATCTTGAACATAGAGGACCTTCGCTTCGCTGCGGTCGACAAATCTTTCAACAAACAACCCTTTACGACATAACTGATAAGAGATAACATTAATGATTAATCCTGGGGTAAGTGAAGGACGTCAGCGTATTGAAGAGATAGAAGTCATAAAACCATAACAAATATCCTTAATAAACTTAATGAACAACAAGTGGATTAATAAACATCCGTTTGGGAAGGCGTAGCCGTGGCTGTTGAGGATCCATCAAAGATGAATGAAAACGTAACTTCCGCCTATGTGCTAAGGAAACGGAATGAAAAACAGTGTCCCTTCAGCTCATCGTGCATGTACAGTATAAAAAGCGGCCAAGGTTACACATTGCAATAAATTCAACCAACATTAATCAGCTTTCGTACCAGGGATCACACATCAGCTAGTTTCTTTCTTTTCTTTTATATTTTGATTTTTCGGCTTCGACTTCCATTTCGCTTGTACGTATCATTAAGCACTCGACCATGAACAGTTTTATCTGCGTTCTTCTCGCCTGCGCGTTCACGGTTTCCAGAGCCTCTGTCCTGCAAGGTACAGATACAGTATAGAAGTTTTTGAAAATTGTTGAAATTATAATTAACTTCGCAGGTTGAATTAAAAAGTACTTTCGAAATTTAAGCATCTCTAGTTCTGCACCGGTTTATCTTCGATTTTTGGTACGGTTTATAGATACTCAGCCGTACATCCAGAAAGCCGTTGCGCAGGTGCAACAGGCCACTCGGGAAACCGTTCCCACTAGCGTACTGCGGCATGCCAACGAGACCCTGTCCTCCTTCGACGACCTAACCGAATCCACGCAGGACGCCGCGCGGGAAATCGTCTCGGACCTACTCGCAGCGAAAGGTCAACTGCAGCTGAACGGCGTAGATAATGCCGGGGGTGCACAGACGATTGCCCAGGAGCTGATTAGGAAAATTACCGACCCAGGGACACCAGGTGATCCAACTACTTCGCTTTACCGTCAAAATGTCCCTTCTGTATAATGGCATTGGCAACTGATATTGCAGACGCAAAGTTCTTTCAGAGATGGTTCTGGAAAAAGAAGTGGTTCAGAATCGCTGTCAAAATTGTCCAGATCGTGGTGCGTTCGAATGATCTCAAAGCACATCTTAATATGTTGCAGAAAAAGTTTGTTTTGCAGATTATTATCATCGGTCGGGCCAAGGTTGATGATGCTACCGTTGAGGACACGGTGCTGACCAAGAGCGTCGGCGAGGTTGTCGACTACTTTAGGCCGCACGCGGAGAAGGAAATCGGGGCCGCGTATCAGTTTGCTGCTGACTCCCTTCTCGCCACGAGTACCGATCATCATAACCAGATCGTCCGTGCCGCTCAGGATTTCCTTGGATTTCTGGTTAAATATGAAAGCGCCCTAGGAAAGGTCTATGGGGAAACTGTACAGGCCGTCGAATCACTGATCAAGGAGTGAACCATGGCATTACCTAGTTGCACTGTACAGCACACGATTTCCTTTCTTAAACCCAAACTTAAGCAGTCGATGTGTCCAACATTGTACTCGTCATTGTACTCGTACAATATGTTATCGATATTATTTTAAATTATACACTGTCACTGTATAAATAGTTACTGTACAGAGCATTTAGATACTAATAGGCGCTTATGGTCATGTGTATATAGTACGAGTAGCGCTTCTATATATAATTACTCATTGTCATGTCTTATTTTGACTGCTTTCCAGAAAATAATCTGCTAATAAAGATTTGATCGCAAACTTGCAACATTCACTGTGTTCGTTTTTTGACACTTTTACCATAACTATCTGTACTTCGAAGTACTGATCATGCATGCTGAAGTCTGTGGATCTTGTCCGTAAACAGAATGTTTATTCAGTTCATTCGGCCAAACAACACACATAGACCGAAGCTGTTCCCGAAAGGTGACCTTTCGGTTAGCCCTATTTACATTTAAATTTTCATAAATTTTCCAATCTTTTTGTTGAAATTTAAGCAACTTAAGTGCTCTGACAGCAAACGCACACTTTTATCGATCTTTGTAGCCGCAGGAGGAAGTGAAGTCAGCAGCAGTACAGTATTCAAAATCATTTGTTCAACAAAACATGAATTATATTCGCAATTAAAATAAGCAATTACAATAATCTAATTTTCCTTGTGTTTTCTCTTAATTTGTAATAATGGGTTTTTGTCTCACAGCAGCGAACGCAACTCAGGAAAGACTGAAGCTGAAGTACAGTGTGAAATAAGTTATCCTTTCGCTTATAGCAATTTTCATGATCTGCTTTGGCAATTCTGACAGTTTTATATGCAACTGCCATTTTCCCGTGGTTTCGTTACCTTCCATATTACATAATCATCGCGTATGCAGATGATTCAGCGCTTAAGTCAAAGCTGTGTATTAAAAGTTTGTTTTGATTTCGTGAGTCCACAAAAAATAACTCAATAAAGTATCATGTTTAATCGAATTATTTCCAGCGGTAGGTGTGATTCCGATCTGATCCATTCCCAATCCAGCATTCCCCTGCACTACAGGTCCTGCTCTGCCAACAACAATGCCTGCCGCAAGAACGTAGTGTATTATTTGTAATTAGTAGCGCGCAATCGGATGATGAGAAATTTCACTCGCTTCCGGTAGTCCCGTGACATTATCAAGAAAATGACCTAAAATACGCAAAAACATTGTTACATACATGTATAACCTGCAAAGCGACAGCGTTCCAGAACACTAATTATAGTAATAAGCCACATCATATAAGCAGTTATTTCCATATGCGTATTATGAATATAGTAAAAACCTTTTTAAAGCGTATTCGTACCGGTGTTCCCGCCATTCCACAAAAATAAACAGTGCGCATCCAGAACTGCATAACCGGGTACTTAACATACAGATCAGGATACTGCGGCATAATCAGGGTATGCGGAGCATAACAGGCGAAATACCAGACAGAGGAGACGAACAGTATCTGCGCCAGACGCAGACGCTTGGAACGAGCGGACAGCCGTGTCTTCCCAGCGCTGTTCGGCTCCACACAGCCCGATGCAGGCGGATTTGTGGTAACTGTTACAGTTCTTCGTTTAAAAGCCATTCCGATCAAGATAACGAAGTAGCAGACAAAGGTCACGGCTAACGGAACATGAACGCGAATAATGTACATGGCGGTAATCGCCCAGGTTGATCGGTCAGGCGCCGGCGCAATGGCACACGCTGTCCATTTCGCGTTCACCTTAGTAATTTGCCCTCCTGTATTTAATGCTAAGCACAGGTCGATGCTGCACGGAATGGCCCAGCTAAAAAAGATAAATAGCGCGGTGATACGGTTGTTGACTTCTTTCCGATAAAACACCGGTGTTAACACCGCCATTACTCGATGCACAGCCAAGAAACACATGGACCAATGTTCAGCACCCATGACTAAGACGTGAAAAAAGATAAAGGCTCGGCAATCATCAGATCCCATATGAAATGTGGGAAGAATGACGGATAAACTCATGATGGATTGGAAAGGACCGCAGATCAACAGATCGACGAAGAGCAGATGAAGGACTTGGCTGCTGGAAGCTGAGAGTTTATCGGTTGCGATTGCTGCCAGTAGTAAAATGTTGATCAAGCAGGCCGTAAGTTGTGCGATGACATTAAAAATGAAACAAATTTTGACGGAAATTTTGTCACCAACATCAACAGTAAATGTCGTATTATTCATTTTACTTTATGCTTCTTACTGATATATAGAGATGAGCAGAAATACTCGAACGGTATCACTTGTTGTTAAAGCATTCGTAGACTGCCAGTGACTGGTATAAACCGTTTATGGCGACGCAATTGCAGTGATGATCATTCGACATGCATGTGACTGTAGGTTGTTTTCTTTCGGGAATTTGCTGCCGATAAGAAAGGATACAGTCAAAGGATACAGTCACAACCGGAAATTAAACTTTGTCATAATTAGAGGACCGTGGGTGTGTAATTTTAACGCAGGGATCGGTAGCAGTGATATAGTTACCAATTACCATGGAAAGCATCGATATTTTTGTAGCCGACCGAAGCGGGCATGTACCGTAGGTACATACTGTGATAGCGCACCTTACGGGGTTGAACTTTTAGCGCTTGCTGCAGTGGATTCCTGTGCTTAAATTTAGATGTTTTTTTATATTGATAAAAGAGAGTTTAGTCATAGGCCTGGCTGGTTCCAATTTTTTTTTAAAAATTCACGGCATTTCACAAATATTTCAGTTTTCCTGGAATATTCTTCCAAGATCAGTACTGTACAGAGTATGTGTCCGATTGACATCGCAAAATTTTTCATGCGATTGCTTCCAGAAATAATTTCAAGGGAAAGACTACTAGCAAAATGTAGCGAACGATTAGTAGGTAACACCAATCGAAAATTAAATGCCAAGAATGGTAGCAAACTACTAACGAGCATGAAGTTCAAAGTGCACAGATACCGCGTTCAAGATATTTAACAAAATAATCCAAAAGCAGGCGGTTTTCGTTTTTAAATTTATCGGGAAGGGTGACATTTACATAATATAACTATGCTTCCATATTACATATACATATATTTGTACAGTTTCATAAGGTGGCATACGCATATATACTAGTAGTTTGATATATAGTTATAGCTTTTACGTATGTTATAAGTACAGTATGCGTTACCTTTATAAAATAGGCATATCTATCTTCGTAATATAACTATCTGTACGATTCTGGTCTCCAGACAGATGTAGTCTGTGCGGTACAAACGGGTAATCGTTTTTTCCTCCCTCTACATTCTTTATGCACGCAGTCCGCCGATTTATCGTACCAGAGTCACCAGAGTATCAGTTAAACAGCTTAACTGAACCATCTTACCCATATTATGACGGTTCCTTTCGCTACGTTTAGCCGTCCAGCAAAGATTTTACGGCATGATACGCAAATTAAAGTTCAAACTAAAGATGTGATCAGTTCTACGGTATGGTTGGGCGTTTGGTTAATTACTTTCCATTCTGATTATTTCATACACCCCATCGCATTTAGCCTTTTCTCTCGTTAAATTTCGTTCACGTGTACATATCGCTATCCTTTTGTGGCAGAGGTGTAATAATTCTAGGCAGCCATAACTTTCAATTAGAATTTGGGAGTAATCATTTTTTACAGTCGGCCTTGAAGTCAGAAACACAGCTGCTTCGCTTTTGCGTCTTGTGGTTTCTGTGGAAGCGCTCTTAAATATGACGAAGTCCATCTTTTTGCTGTACAGAAACGTCGTCGGACTGTGTGTTATCGGTTTTATATTAGGTATGTCGCGCTTTACTACACGAATTTATTAATTTTGCCTTTCATGTCAGTTCTGTTCGGTTCAACATATACTCATTTATTTTCAGTGGATGCCGTAATGGAAACCGATTGTAATAATCGTTCCATGGCCAGAACGCCTCCCACGGAGAATAATTTTTCCCAACCAGTTTTTCCGTTTCGCAGCGATACGCTAACGTTGGAAGAATGTATGGCGTACTATACATCACCCGATAGTTACGAGTGTAACCCACGGGGTCTGCCATACTGCAATAAAACAGTCGCGTATCCCATGTCACGCACCTTCTTGGAAGTAAACTGCCCACGGAATATGCGGGCGTCCCTGGCGGGTATCATGAAGCTAGCCAGCATGGTTATCCCTAACCGGGCCATAACAGCGCGATTAAACGAACGCCCCGATTTAACGGATCCCCTTCATCCTGACGTCCTCAACCCGGTTCGCAATCAGCTTATCGAATTAACCATCGACAGATGTGCCACCCCTAGTGTAACGTTTAAATTTCCGCCGCTGGGACGTCTGCCGTACGTTGTCCGCCTGAGTGTCGGTCACTGCAAGGGAATGATCATCGGACGCAACGATTTCCGGAATGTGACGCAGCTCCGCGTGTTCCACCTGTACGAATCCACCATCGATGTCATAGAACCGTACACTTTCACTGATCTGGTGCAACTGCAAAACCTGGCGTTGGAAGCCGGTCTGTACTCCATGATGCAGTTCCGAGAAAAATCTCTGGGTCCTCCTGAGTTTCAGCTCTCCGATGAAGATATCCAGAGAGTCCAACGACTTCACTGCGATTGTGCATTCGCCTGGTTCCGCAATTTTCTCCAAGAGAAACCGTATCTGATTGCCGACAGGGACCGCGGTGAGATGTTTGCCATTGGGAGTTACCTGTCGGACCACATTACTGTGCATGGTAATGAAATCAATTCTATGTTTCGCGTTGATTGTGCGCGGAATCTGTCTACGAATAATGTCAATGCCAGTGAGTTGTTCTCGTACAATACACACTGCTTCGGGACAAATTGTTAGCTTGTCATGTGCATTCGTGGATATGCGGCACGCGGCTTTTTCGCTTTGGTTAGGAGTTTAAGATTGACGAATACCGGTTTACAGTCAGCGATGCAGTGCACTCTGTTAGGCAATTAATATGAAGGAATGTTCTTGTCGATCATTACAAACAGCAATGTTCTGTGAGTTCGAATTTCTTTATTCATTTGAAGAAGATGTATAACAATACACTTATTTTAGGAATAGTGATGTGATGCAAATGATTTCGCTTTAGTTCCTTCAAAACCAAGATTCTCTCGCAAATATTGCTCATCTCTGTCAGCAAACAAGCGCTTAATGAAAGTGTACGTTTACTTGCCATCGTTTACTTTAATACGGGTATCAAATCCATCCGAACCGTGTTCCTCTTTAAAGCATTTCGAAATTCAGCATAACCGTCTTAGAATGAAGGAAACAGATATTTACAAAATGTTTGGCACTAGTCCAACGTTTCGGATAGAACGTATCGGAATCTGTCTACTGACAATATCAATGCCGGCGAGCTGTCTTCATACTGTATAACACAAAGTGCTTTAATAACAAGCAAGTTTGTTTGTTATGTACGGTATGCAACTTCAGTTTCTCTACGGTTCGACTACATGTGTAGAAGTAAACGTGCGATTAGAAATTATTATTTAGGCATTTAGAAGACAGACAATTAAACGGGCTGCGAGATTAGCACGATCATTTCAGACATTTCAAACAGCATTATTTTATGGGTTCAACTAATAAAAACCAGCTATTACATAATACATAATGCCGCCCATCCATGCCGATAGTTTTGATTCCAGTAAGGCGAAGATCACCAGTGCACCACTCCTTTCTCTGTAAGCAGCAACGCTTTAGGAAAGAAGGCGTTTACGTGCATGTAACAGTCGCGCGAACTGAGCTGATGAAGATCTTCACACGCTTCCGGTAGTCCCGTGACATTACCAAGAAAATTATCTGTGGGCACGCAAACACATCGTTAGGTTGCATCAGCATTATGCAGCACAGCAGTATCTTCCTAAGAACTTAATTAGCCAGTATCATATTGCAGTTAATATGCATCTTTGTTGACATAATACTTTACAGTTTCACGATCAAGTAACTGCATGCGTACCGGCGTTCCGGCAACTCCGGAAAAGTACACAGTCCGCACCCAGAACTGCACAACGGGATATCGAACATACAGCTGCGGATACTGCGCTATAATCACTGTATGGGGCATGTAGCACACAAAGTACCACATAGACGATACAAACAGCATCTGCGCCAGACGCAAACGCTTGGAACCGGGACTGCCTGACCCTGGCAACGTCGGTCCGGCACTGGTCGGGTCCGCACCCACTGACGCGAAGGTATTCTGACCCACTGTAACGGTTCTGCGCCGAGCTATTGCCACTCCCGTCCAAATAGCGATATAGCACGCAAAGGTCACGGACAGAGGAACGTGCACACGCAAGATGTACAGTGCGGAAATGGCCCACGTTGATTTGTCTCGCGTGGATGGCGCAGCGGCGCATGCCGTCCACGCCGTGTAGATTCTGGCGTACTGTCCTCCAACGTTCAACGCCAAACACAGATCGATGCTGCACGGGATGGCCCAGCTTAGGATAATAAACAGCGCGGTAATGCGGTGGTTGACGTCTTTCCGATAGAACACTGGCGTCAGCACCGCCATAACACGGTGTACCGCCAGGAAACACAGCGACCAGTTCTCGGCGCCCAGTGCCAAAACGTGGAAAAACATGAAGGCGCTACAGTCCGCGGATCGCGGGAGTAAATTCGGAAGAATCCCGGACAGATTTAAAATGGATTGGAAGGGACCGCAGATTAAGAGATCGATGCAGAATAGATGGATCAGTTGTATGCTGGACGTTGAAAGTTTGCCGGTCCAAATGACCGACAAGAGTAGGATATTCAAGAAACAAGTTATGGTTTGTATGATCACGTTAAAGGCGAAGCAAATTGTGCCGGAAAGTGTATCATCCACCAGCGCATAACCAGTCAAATTCGTTGTGTTATTCATTTTATCCACTTTTTGCATAGGTATACGGGCTATACAGAATAATTAAATAGTGTTCCTTGTTCTTAATGCACCACAGGTATGAGCATCTGGCATCGATGAAGGGCTGTGAATATGACTGCATTTTGCTTTACTTCTTGGTTTCGGTATCCGTCTTACTGTCAATAATAATTAGTATTGCCAGAGGAATCGATGGCAACTGGAGAACAAAATTTGCAATGGTGATAAGGTTGCGTGAATGAGATTTGATCCAAATGATTAGTACGAAGGAAGTAAATCTAATTAGTAAACCCAATTCGTTTTGCGCATTGGTTATAGTACTTATGTAAACATTAACGTGGCCAACCAACTATGCATGAATTCGCAAGGGAAAGGCTTTCAGTTTCTACAGTGGGTCAGTGAACAAATAAAACGTGCGTGTTGTGATACTGTCCCGACTTGAAGGTGGCGGCATAATGTATTTATTGTGAACCGCAACTGAGGGCGCAAACAACCAACTGATCGTTGTCATCAGGAAAACAATGGCACACTGCAACCGCAGTTACCATGCTGGACAACACACCACATAGAGGTCACAGCGGACACAACATTCTCGTGACGTCAGTGCCACTGCACTACGCCACAGATACCGTATTCGGTGTTTTAAACTAAATGTACCGGAAGATAAAGGGGGTTTTGGCCGCTATTTGAAAGCGGCATTATGGCTGTGTAGCATCCGCAGCTGTTCGATGGCACTTTCTGCCGTTTTAGCCTTTGCGGCGACAGTTGCGTCGACGCTGAAAGTTTGCCGGTCCAGATTATAACAGAACATTTTTCAGGAGACCTGAGGCACTGTAATTTGCACGATCACGTTAAAAGCTAGCGTAAGCAGAGTGTGCCATAAATAGTATTATCTACAGCGCTTTGACCAGTAAAATTTCGACAGCTCTTGGTCGCGATGAGTGTGGCTGCATTTCGTTTTTATACTTGATAGTTACATAAACTAATTGTTGATGTGACAGGATTCGATGACGTACTGGAAATGCACGTTATACTTGAATAATACTTCCATAACGCGCGGTTGCAGCTCAGAAAGTATGTGTGCAGCCATGTGGGCACATCCACCATGATGACGCGTGGCGTTAAAGTAAACCGGACATAGAGAATTCCGATCAGGTCTCGTTCAGCTTCCGGTTGGCTGTAGCGCTGTCCAGCTTTCTCCAGTTTCTCGAGCTTTCCAGAAAACGATACAAATAAAAACCCTTCTATATGCTTTATGATGTTTAATACTAATTGAAGCATATAACAACTTCGTAGTAATTAAATGAAGCATGGTAACCGCGATATTTATAAGTCGTGCATTTGCGCTAAATCGAAGATCGTTTAGAATGTAGATGCAAATTTATACATCATTAATAAATGTAAATGCAAACTTCACAGCGCTCCGCCAAATTAGCAGCTCATGAAGGTGGCTTTACTTACATTTTCCGATCCCAGTGGGCGTATCGAGATCGACGATCATTTTAACTTTTAAATGATTCAGCTGACAGCTTCACTCGAAGTCAATTTGGAAGTTTTTGGAGTAATACAATTGGCAGCAATGCTTCCCAGGTTCCCCAAACTTAATTTTTACCAGTTTGTGAGAATGTAAAGCAGTATGTACTGTAGTATGTACGTAATGGAATGAATTTGCTGTTTTTTGTATCTTTAGCATGCGGTGTCGTCACGTATACACCGTGGCTTGAAAAAAGGCTCTTTTACCCCTCAAAGTTATAGTACGAGTATTATGCGAACTGTGACCGAAATGGGCTACATAATGTCAAAGGAGGAAGCTCATTTTAGAGGAATGAAATTTTGTCTGGTCAAAAAGAGGAGGGAAATTTCTGAGGTCTCAGTAGTTTCTTAATAAAGGTATTTTGACGACACAAAATTTTCTTGCTCCTTTTGACACTGGCCATCGAAATACCCTAGTGTTTCAGTGTCCATTCAGACTGTTCACAGTCTAATCTGGTTGCTGTGGTGCCTATAATGGAATCGAGCCGCTGGATTTGAGTAGTCAACGGTCTCATCAACGTGCTGAATTGTCGTGGTGAATAGTTGAGCAGCGTGCTGATAGTATTACTAGAGGCTTGCGAGACTGAGAATGGACGGAAGACTCGGAGTAATAATGACGTTACTTAGAGCGAGTACAGCATGGATCCGAATGCGATGTCTATCCTGCATTCAAGCGCAACAACGGCGCGAAACAAGAACTGCATGTACCGGTGTTGATGTTCGAAGTCTAGAATTGACACTTCCATTTGCACTGCCGGCGTTACGTGCTTTTTTAAGTACCGCCGATAAAACAACTTTATTAGATTATTACAGTATTATTGAACTGCTGCGGAAATACAGCCGCGATAACCCACCGATATTCCTCGTTGTTACAAGTCCTCCTGGATATAACCCTTACAACGAATGCGAGGCAACATGCAGCAAAATTGACTCACTGCTCGTTTTCCTCTCATAATTATTCCGGTATATTTACCGTTTGCCTCTCGTCATGTAACTCGATGAATGACAAAGTTTCTGGTTTGGTCTTCACGGCATACAATTCCTGACACTACCCGTAGCTATCGCACGTAATGCATGCGGCATACGTCCGCAACTTTATGTGGTATTCAAAGTACAGAATGGTTTGCTATTTAGTTAACGTCTGATAATTTGTTGTTTCGCTTTAACATTACACATGGCCTAATTATTGTGCCGGGATCGCAAACTGGCAGTGTGTCAATTTGACGTCACTAAAGAAACAGGAATTTTACGGTGCGCCAGCACATGAACTATGCATTCGCTCTGTTTCTGTTAGTGTGCTAAAATTTACCGCGTTGGTGTGATACCGCGGCCATAGCACTGGCGCTTAATTTAAGAATAGTGTAAATATTTTTATCATACATTTGTCGCCTACTTTGTAGAGCCCCGTTTGCTGTAATTTTCATGTATCTGCCGCACTAACAAACAGCACCGTTTGCGAACGCGCGCTGTTTAAAAAGTGCCGGGATAAACACCTGTTTTTATGCGCCTACGATGACTTCCGGGCGTAGCTTGGGCGTACGGCTCCCAACCGCCACGGGGCACCATCCAGGCGAGAACCGTCAATTTTGAAAAAAAATTTGAAATCAAATTGGCATTTCGTTGTTACACCGAACGGCTACAATTTCTTCAAATGCCGGAAGTCTCTGTACCTTCATTGAATTCGCAACAATGCAGCTTAGAGGTCTCGTTGTTAGTATACAAATCGTGATGGGCAAAAACGTGACTTTCAATACACACTCGGAAACAAAATAGTGCGAGTGTTAACCATAAATTTAATAAAAACATGTACAGTGAATGTACTTAGTTTTGTCATTAACTGGTTAGCACGTGTGTATTCTGGGTTTAGTAAGCGGTGAAATGGAGACCGACTGCACTACTCGCCCAGAAAATCTTCCTATAGATGCAGTTATTCCACAGCCAAGATTTCCCTTCCGCACCGATCGATTAACATGGGATGAGTGCACGACATATTCTAACAAGACCGATGGTTTGTTTGTATTGCAGCCCGGTCGGTCTGCAGGAGTTCTGCAGTCGAACAGTACCAAATGATTTTGACGTGTATGTCATGTCGCGCACCTTCCTTGCGGTAAACTGTGCGTCGAGCTCCCGAGCGCTGTTGGCCAGTGTGATGAAAAAAGTGAATACAGTCAGTCCTAACCGCGCCCTGACTATCAACTTTTACGAGGGCAACGACGCCTCTTACGATCCCGTTCATTCTGACGTCATCGAGCCGGTTCGCAGGCAACTGATTGAACTGTCCGTTGGTGCGTATGCCACTAGCGCGATAACTTCCAAAGTGTATGCACTGGGTCTTGTGCCGTACGTCGTCCGACTCAGTATAGCATTATGCAAGAACATGACCGTCAAGAAGAACGAATTCCAGAATGTCCCAGATGCGCGTGTTTTACTTGTTTGAATCGACAATCGAATCCCTGAAACCGTACACCTTTACCGAACTTGTACATCTGCGAAATCTCGCATTAGAACCTGGTTTATCTTTTCGAATGCAAGATCGAGATAAAATCGAGGGTGCTCCGGAACAACGTATGACCGACGAAGAAATCCAGAACATGATATTTCGGTTCTGCTACTGGCTACAATCCGGAAATGTACGTTTAGTAAATTCAAAAATTCATATTTAAAATTATAAGGTAAATCAGCAGTGCTCTTCTGTCGCAGGTGTCGTGCCCTTCTTAGACGAAAAGTAATTTTACTTCGTAGTGCTGTACCAAAATCGGCATTTCATGAAGATCCGTGTACATACATGTACAATCCCTAATCCAAACAGTCGATATTCTGGTTTAATAGACGATAATATTGGTGGAATCAATCTCGATGAATGTTTCAACTCTTGAAAGATTCACTTGACAGCTTAATTAGTAATGAGTTTGGACTCGTACTTAATGTTACGAGGATAGTTAACCCTTGACACCAAATTTTTCAGGTTCTCCAAATCTTAATCTTACAGTTGTATGTGAGAATCTAAAGCAGTACGAGCGTACAAAGGTGCTGCTTGTGTAAGTAAGTGAAAGCCTGGGTCAGTCTGTCGTCGGAACGTTATACATACTTTCTGCATGTGAGTGTGATACCTAATTACGCGAAACAAGAATTGGCGTCCACGGTCCGCTACGGGTACCGATTTAGATGTTTGATGTCTGGATTCGGCACTTTCATCTGCAATGCCGGCCTCACGTGTATTTTTATTTACCGGCCGATAAAGCAAGAGGACGACTAATGAACTGCCGCTGAAGTACTTACAGCGACGACAACCCGCAGATATTCCTCATTAATATACGTATGCCTTGTCGGGTAACATTTACAAAGAATGCAAGGCAGCATGCAGCAAAACACATGAAGTACAACCTGTACAGTACTCATTTTCCTTCCATAATTATTAAAATTTCCGGTTTAGTATTTCTTCGCGAACAACTTCTTACAATAGCTGGCAAGAGCTGTATTAGCTGTGGTCGACAATCGATGGTTTTCTTCTTTTCTTGCCTCAAACGATATTTTCCGTGCGATGGCATACAGCGTAACAGCAGTTAGGCTGCAGTTTGAGAGTTGTTTTCTTGAGAAATGCGCAGGTACACTCAAACTGCAGCCTAACTGCTGTTTGAGTGTATCTGCGCATTTCTCAAGAAAACAAAATTTTAGTCAGCTGAAACATTGACGTGTTTCGGGGTTTTTCACATCTGTTGTGTGAAATCATCAGTTTTACACCATATTGTCGCTGATTTTATTTGAAGTCAGAATTAAATGATACGATCGACCGGCGGCTTTCTCCGTTTCACTAAACCGTCCACTACAGGCTTTCTCAATATATAGAAACATGCGAACAGTTTATCAGTTAATTACGAGTTAGTTCGCTTGTAGAAGTGGTAATTATTGTGCTACGATTGTGGTTGTGTCCACCAAACTGCATCTGTTGCTTTTTGCACCAGCGCCTTTATTATGTTAGCTAGAAAAATGGGTACTTTGATCGTTTTATTGTGTACTTTCGGACTGACATCCCTTGAAATTACATCGGGTGAGTTACACTTTACATTTGCACTATTTTACTGTTGATCCGAGCCGCATCTTTACTCGAGGGTGGATCAGTTGGTTTTTGCCTCGGTCGGGTTCCAAACGACTCATTTACCACTTGGGATGGTTTCATCTGGTTTAGTCTTATTTTTTTAATGAAAGTAGTAGTACAAATAAGTCAGTTCTGTGGGTTCAAAATCAGACAGCAAAAGAATGTCAATTTTTTAAGATTTTGCGATTATATTCGCATTTCGCTGATATACGGACACTTAACGGATACAATTGCTCCCAACGCCGAAAGTCTCTGAATTTACTTCATTAAAATTTTGCAGCATTGCAGTTAAGAGGCTTTCGCAATACGCTTATAATTCATGGCAGACACATGGCCATGAAGTGACCTTCCACATGTTTACAGATTCACTCGAGGAAAATAGTGCGCTTGCTAACATAAAAGCATATTATAGTATACGACTATACGATGTACCTAGTTTCGTCCGTAGTAGGTTAGGAACCCTGTTTTCTGCGTATAGTACACGGCGAAATGGAAACCGACTGCAATACTCGTTCAGCGATCTCTCTCAAAGATGCAGTTTCTCCACAACCAACGTTTCCCTTCCGCACCGATAAGTTAACATGGGAAGAATGTATGGCATATTCTACCGCAACCGATGATTCCCACTGCAATCCGGCCGGTCTCCAGGAATTCTGCAATCGAACGGTACCGGATGATTTTGCCGTGTATCCCATGTCACGCACCTTTCTTGGAGTGGACTGCGCATCGAGCACCCGAGCGCTGCTGGCCATTGTGATGAAAAAAGTGACCATGGTGAGTCCGAAGCGCGCCGTAACCGTCCGCCTGAACGAGCGCAACGATACCTTGCTCGATCCCGTTCATCCAGACGTCGTCGAGCCGGTGCGGCAGCAGCTGATAGAAGTAAACATTTGGTTACTGTGCCACTAAAACGATAACGTCCAAGGTGTCTGCACTGGGCCAGCTGCCGTATGTCGTTCGACTCAGCATAGCATTGTGCCAGAATATGATTGTGAAGAAAAACGATTTCAAGAATGTCCCGCAGCTGCGCGTGTTTTATTTGTTCCAATCAACAATCGACGCCATGGAACCATACACCTTCACCGATCTCGTAAATCTGCGAAACCTCGGATTAGAAGCCGGCTTGGCCTTGCGAATGCAAAGGCGAGATAAAAACGAGGGTCCTCCGTTATTTCATATGACCGACGAAGAGAGCCAGAACATTCGCCGATTGCATTGTGACTGCTCGTTTACTTGGTTTCGAAATTTTCTCCAGGAGAAGCCGTATCTGCTTGCCAGCAGAACTCGCGGTGAGATATTCATTATCGGAAATTACATGTCGGATTATGTTTTTGCTCGTAACGACGATGGAACCCAGTCTATGTTCTATGTTGACTGTGCAAAGAATTTGTCCATCAATAATCTGAATGTCGGCCCACTGTTTTCGTATAACACACAGTGCTATAAGATAAAATGTTAGTTTTTGTCATCCTGCTATGTAGAATAGTGTTTGAATACCTTTCTAGAGTACAGTGGAACCTCCTACTTTGAACACCCCAGAACGCTGAACACCTCTGAATCTTGAACAACTTTTTTCGTACCGGCGCTTCTCGTAATGTATAGCGTTAGGGGGGACCTCTGAACCCTGAACACCTCTGAACTCTGAACCGTGAACATTCAGCTATGTACCGCAGTATGTTCTCTCAGTAAATTATACCTCCAGACATGAACAGAGCAGATCAGCAAAGCATCCGAAAAGATCAAGTGTTCAAGGTGTTCACTCAGATCATTCGTAAAAATTCGTTTGCCGTTCAGTATTTTTATTTCTTGAACAAATGTTTAGTTTTTAAATGAACAAGAAAAAGAAAGGCAAGAAATACATCCCGGGCAAGTTCACCGCTGCTCATTCTGATGAAAAAAAATCTATTCTCGATAATTTTCGGCCGACGAATATTGAAATTTAATGTTTTTGAATTGTAATTGCCGTGTTAACCTGTTATCTTGCCCAAAACGACATAAATCATAAATTAAGCATAAATTACCTGGCTACATATAAATTATACGAGGTCAGGGGCCCCCAAAGAAAGTCTCCGCCCCTGGGGGAAGTACCTCTGAACCCTGAACAAGAAACTGCGAACCGAGGGTGTTCAGGGTCGGGAGGTTCCACTGTATATTATGTGAAAGGATACAACGCTTCTTTGCCATCGAAATTCTGTTTTCACATATCTTGCTCTGCGGAACATTGTTCGGTTCTTAGATTAGATAAGTACATGGTTGAATGAATTGGATATCAGAATTGGTTGAATTAAATGATCTTGGATATCAGCAGCTGTGCGAGATGTAAGCGAAGAATCATTTTCGCTTGTAGATCTCAACTCATTTGACTGTATACTCCGTAGGTCTAAAAACAGTTAACATACAATCATAATAAAGATGTACAAAATGAAGTACTTAAGTAATCATTGGAAGCACGATAGGAATCACAGACATACCCAACCGGGTTGCGGGCAGTTCAAGGCACTTAAGTTGACCCAACAGGCCGACGGTAACTAACTGCGGCGCAAATTTATAACGGTTGGATGTAGTGTACGGGCATGCACTTATAAATTAAATTTAATAAACTACTACAGCTCGACAACACCGCACCTTCCAAAATGTTGCTATGGCCATAACAATGACCAGTTGCCAGGCCGGCCACATAAATATAATCAAGCAACAACAAGCAAGATCATGACATAAAGAACTACAGTGCAACCTTTTGAAGTACATGCTATCACAGAGGACGGCCATAAATACGGCCGGACGTGGTGGTCTTAGCGAAGGGAGGGCGATTCGTGAGGTATTTGCAAAAATGGCGATGGAGCGGAATCGAACCGCTGGCTAACGAGTGAGATCCACGTAGCACAGCCACTGTGCCATCGCCGCTGTTGGCGAAGATCAAGAATGATATTTGTGCTTGAGCTTGAGCCAACCTGGTAGGCGGCGGCATGGGCGGCTGTCGTGGGCACATAGTCTTCTACTCTGAGTCTCGGATAATGCAAGAACTATATCGGCGAGAACCATATTGAGCCATATACACAAAAATCGGCGACAGCAGTACTTAAGTATTCACGGCAAAGAACGTTCGTAATAAATTTAATTAAGCATGCGCAAGGGCGCAGCCATAAAGCTTTTGGAAGTCCACCATCAGGATGATGCTACTGGCAACATAAGGTACGTTTCCGTGCAGCGCAAGATTTCTTACGAATCTAGCTGAAAGGATGCGACAGACTGTGGTGAAGGCCTTTATACCCATTCACCTGGAACAGGGACTGACCTTTACGATGCACATATCTATAAAATTTCAGATGTATCCGCTTCATAAGCTCTTAGGTAGACAGTGCTTAGTGACTTTGGATACGACGAAATGGAAAACTGGAATATGGACAAGCAGCGGGAGACGGCATGACCCTTGGCAGAACTATTGCCGCCAGCCACGCATGGAGCGCCCAGGAGCGCAATCCCACCAAGAACAAAAAACGCACTACTTGATCGCATCGAGGAACTACACGAGTTTTCGAAATTTTGGTCGCTTCAGTTGTATGGTTGCATATTTTGGCCCTTGGCCACCCATCAGCGCAAAGCAAATTCGGAGTTGCTTTAAAAACCGAAATACGAGCACTCGTACTCTCGCATATGCAGAAAACCAATGAAGTAAGTAGATACTCGCACTTATTTAATAAATATTTATTAAATATGTGCGAGTATCTACTTATTCTTACATCGCTAATCAAACAGACTCCGAATTGCATCAAAAACAAAACATAATACTGTCGCCTGGGGACACAAAACTAGTTGTTATTCTTGCATTCTTGAGGCGTATTCCACAATTATCGGCAACAGACCAGCATCCGATCCCATGACCTCTTGAAATGCTTCGGTATGCAGAACGCGTTCCATATTGCCCGGCAGGACATCCAACACTGCGTTCTTCAGTGTATCCAAGCCGCGCTGTTTGGCTAATACGAAATAATGAGCAGCTTTATCAAGTGGAATATTCTCAGCCAGGATCTGCTCACACACTGAGCGCAGATCCAACATTTCGTACTTATCAGCCATAACCAGCACCTTCTCCGCGTTGTCCACATTGATCTTGCTAAATTTACACCCGTAAACATAATCCAACAGAATTCCCAAACTTTCCCCATCAACATCCACCAAATCACAGCGTGACTCCTTTTTCTCCTTGCAGTCGTGCTTGAACATGGCAGCGAACACGGGAGATTGTGCTGCAAAGAAATTGCAACTTACTGCAAATTCCTGACCGTCGCTGGAGTGTAAGACAAAGTCCGTTGAATGCGACTGATCTTCCGACATCAGCAGACTGCTTTGGCGAGTAGTGAAGTTCAACAGGAATTTCCCATCTGCTTCAAATGGTTTGGAGATGATCGATTCCGGAATAAGTGCAAGATTGTGCTTCGCATACAAGACAACATCTAGAGTGAATGTCACGGAGTCGTCCTTCAGTTCATCAAGCAACTGCTGATACGAGATAGCCTTTCGCCAGCCATAACCAGCACGGCTAGCGGTTGGGAATGTGGCAAATGCCGGTGATGCGGAATAGTTTCTCAGATTGACATCCATTTCCTTTCCGGTGTGAATGCTGTGTAAAGTCAGACACAAAAGAGTTTACAGTCAGTACGATCGCATATTTTGGGGTTTCCCAAGAACTGGTCACATTAACTACATAATATTTTCATAATATTTTAACAACCGGTCACCCAAGTATGTTTTCATATCCTCGTCTTACATGTACACTGTACAGCAGCACTGTAACAGAGCTAACTGACCAGGGAGAATACATAGGGGTCCTCCCCCTTCAGAAAAATCTCATTTTTTGCACAAAGGTAGTAAACATATGTAGGACATTTAAAAAAATATTTTCAGCTGCTGAAAATATTTTTTCAAATGTCCTACATATGTTTACTACCTTGTGCGTGAGTTACAATAATCGCATCAATAATCGCTCATCAATCGCATCGCATCAAATAATCACAGTACTTTACCTCTGGGCAACCGGACATAAAAGCAAAGCCGAAATATTAGTAACAAAAATACGTATCTGCACTAATCTTTACAGTTTTAAACAGTTCCGATGTGATCGAAACTGTTTAAAATTACAAAAATTTGCATGCGTAAGCGTGTAACGTTAATTACAGTGCAACTGTACAACCGAATTATTCCCGTTCATTTTGCAAAACGTCCTATCCGGCGCTGCTGACCGATTGTTGAAGGTGTTCAATATGTATGATCAAGTGAACAGTTGTTGAGAAATCCAGAAGTACTGTATTAGTTATTACCATATCTGTGTATTACTATATGTCTATATCTGTGTATTACTCTATATTTTACCTGTGTATTACTATATTTTATTAACACAATACCAAATGCGTGCCTCTAAGAGAATATTTGACCAAGCGCCAAATAAGCTCAACAAAACATTTTTCCAGTTGATATGAGATGCCCTCCACCAACTGCCCAGAATGATAACTGCATTTCCGCGCATTATTTGTAAACCCAGGAGTAAGTCCTAAAATTAATATTACTTAAAAAGGTGCAGAAGGTTCTCTCGACGCTGTTCTCACTATTTATGTGCTAGTAAAGCAAGTACTATACTTGTATCATCGTACTATTGTACAAAGAACTGTAAGTGCTACAGTTCTCCCAAATCCTCAAACTGTTCTTGACAGCTCTTAAATAAGCATCTACAGCCTACATCGACTTACTTAACCGAGAACTTGGTATCCACTGAGCGATCACCAGTGTATGATTTGGAAAATCTGTTCACATCGGTGAGAATCAAGAAGACGGAAACATATTTCGATTCCACCCTAGCCACAGTTTCTTTGTGACACGCCTCCACACACACTCGCCAGCGCCCTTGAAATCCACTGTCCGCTTCCAGGCCCGTCGAAACGATCCCGTCACTGTACAAAACCTCCGTTCGATTTTGATAGAACTTGAAATCGTCAATCGTTAGCTTCAGAGTGAACTGAACGGCACTCCGGAAGATTCGATCGTGAACCATAATTCCTGATGTAGAGGAACCCATTTTGTTATCTATACAGAATACTTGAGAAACTAAAAAAGCTTGAATCCGAAAATACGTGTACGAAATCTTCGCAACGAAATTCGTACGAAACGAAGCAAGAGCAGCAACAGAAAAAGTAATAAAACAGCAGCGTTGAGACCAATAAAAAATTTGAAATGGGCTTTAAATGTATGAGTAGTAATCTAGTTGCACTGAATGTTGGCCAAAGAATCATAGAGTAGGCTACAGTACTAGGCAGTAATCGGGTCAGCCGTGCTATATCTCTCTGAGCTGAAGCTCTAATTCTGTGGTTTTCGGTTTGGTCATTCAGTCGCGCAACCGGATACAGCCACACAATCAGTGTGTGTAAAATAATTAATTTTACAGTTGAAGTTACTCACAAACTCCGTAGTTGTTCATGTACGTGTGTCTTCTCCCGTCATGCTGTTTTCTGTTGTTGACGCTAACATAGCAATACCATACACACACTACCAATCTTTAATTTAGATTCATTTGTGATTTGACTCATTGAAAGTTGTCGAAAGCAGTGTCAGCGCAGCAACTCTCTACCCCTTCGTGCCTCCCATTTCCCGCCTCAATCATGTCTTTGGAGCAAACGCAGCCGTGTGGAGATTCTACCAACGCCCGACGATGGGCCCGGCCCCGATCCTATCTGGACCCGACCATGGTGCACGTGGAACCTTCATCCCTGTCGACTGTCCGAGCCGAGAGTCGACTTTGGTTGTGCGGTGATGACGATAGAAAAGGGTAAAATACTTGATAGGTGCTTTATTTGCAGACAAAATACGAGAACCTCAAGAAACCGGAAACGTTATAAAAGCTGTTAGGTTTCCTTGTGGAAACTAAAAATTTGTTATAGTTTGCTCAATAGGTACAAATGTCAAATGAATGGAAAAGAGAATAAAGAAGAGCGGGCGTTATCGAGATGTAGAGATGTAAATCAGTGGATGTTTTAGAAGGAACAGCTCGATTTAACGTTGCGTGTTATAACTTATAATGAATATTTCGACGTTTCTTCCATTCCGAACCTTTTTACAATAGAAATTCGCGTACCGGACACTTCGTCGCGCTGTTCCACTTGGCCAAACTCCCTTTTTTTAAAATTATTGCATGTTAATTATTGCTATTTTACAAGCTTGTTCACGATATTAATAAAACATTATCAAGTTTTCTAATGTGGAACAATGCAGAGAATACCGCGTCCCTGATGTCCAGCACACGTATTCATATGGGGAAGTGCGAAGAACGTCGAAGTTCTTAGTTTACTCGCATTTACGTTTCTTAAATTTAAGATAGCAGTACTTGCTTCTGCGACCTTCAGATAACCTAAACCCCAACACAACACTTTTTATCGGCAAGGTCTTAAAATGGCTGTTAGTTTGTCCAGATTTCCGCTGACCTTTCTTGCTGCAATCTATCCCAACGCAGTCTCGCGTCTTTTGATAATGCGCATGCAAAAGGACTTTGGCAAAGTTAAATAATGCAGTTGCCTTTCTTTGCGTACAATTAAGTACAATTTGTACTGAGCATTGTTACATGTACATGCTCCTCAATGTTTCAAAAGAACAACACTTCTAATTCCAGTTCAACTTATTTCGTTGCGCACGGTGGTATTATTTAAATACTTACGGGTAGTAGTTGCTACCGTAAGTAGACCGTTATGGCTAACGGAATTTGCATTCAAGTAGACTGTATTCGTATTTGAAGTTCCAGTTTTGAGCTTCAGATTTTGAAGTAATTGTCTCGGGTGTGTATGCATTTAGACGAGAAAGAGTGGTATTCAAGCTCAGCTGCTTCCACAGGACACGTTGCAACACGAAGTGTTTAACGAAAAAACACATACATAAAACCGGCCCCCGCTTGTCTCGCCACTACCGGTTTTGTGCTGGGATTGTCGTGAATGGACACTCGCGTTTGCAAAGCTGGCATCACGTTTGTAACAAAATTCTTTGCAACCGCCGATAAAGCAGCCTAATTTGTAATGAACTGCCGGTGAAGCGCGGATTACAGCGGCGTTAATCCGCAGATGTTCCTCATTATTATACGTCCTGCCGGAAAACACATAAAAAAATGCGAGACAATATCGTCTCTTTCCTCGTTTTCATTTCATAATTATTTCGGTGCGATTATCTTTTTGCTCTCGCCACGTCAGTCAATGACTGACGAAGTTTCCGGTTCGGTCTTCCTCGGCGAACAATAACCGGCAGCAGCTGTATTAGCTGTGGTGTACAAGTGAACGCATTATGCAGTACGAGTACTTCGATTTTTAGCAAATAAAACAGCGATTTTCATGCTGCTTCAGAACGGCATTTTCCGTGCCCTGGGTAACAGCAGTTCAGCTGCAGTGTAAGCGTTAGTGCATTACTACACTTTTGTCGAGAAATCAGAATTTTATGTAGCTGAAACACCGACGTATTTCTGAGACGTCTTCACACTTTAATATGCAGACTGAGAATTTATACACCATATTAAAGCTGGTCGATCACTTTATCGAAGTCTGCATCAAATGATACAATCAACCGGCGGCTTATTCCGCTTCCATAAACCATTAAATAAATACTTTCCTTCGATATATAGAAAGGAACGATCAGTTCTTCAATTAATTATTCGTTTTAATAATTATAGCAGTTATTACCCTCTGACTGCGGTGTTGACTGCCAGCGGTCTCTGCTGACGTTCACAAAGGGCATTCCTACCGTCCTACGTGAAAATATGGACATACTAATCGTTTTATTGTGCATTTTGGGATTCACGTTAATCGAACTTCTGCCGCCGGGTAAGTTGCATTTTAACTTTCCCACTATTTTGCTTTTAGCCTAGGTCGGATTTTTCTTGGAACGGCAGATTATTGTTTTTTTTTTAAATCATCCGGGTTCCAAATGACGCACTTACGGTACAATTTGAAATGGTTTCATTTAAGCAAATTATTCTTAATGTTTCAGTAGAAGCAGTAGCTACAGGGTGCACACGCCAAGTTGTCACCATCGGTTAAATTCATTTTTAAAATTAGAAAAAGTTCATTTACTCCAGTCAATTTGTTTTTTTCTAGTACAGAATTTAATTCTGCGTTTAATGAAATTAGTATCAGACCGTTAGCTTCGAAACTGACGTCAGAAGCAAGAACCAAAGTTAGATGACTGGTAGTGCATTTCTGGTCATTATACTCACCTTATCAGAGAAACAGGAAAACAATTTCTACTCTCGAAATTCGTTTTAACTAGCTCAGAATAGGTTAGGTAAGCGCTGAAAAAAAGAACCAACGCAATGGAACCAGTTTTTGATTTATAAGAAATTTTTATTGGAGATTGTCAGGCTTTTATAATGCTATACGGTACGAGCGGCGAAAATTTTTTCATAATTATCTGGAACCTTTGGGTGTTCGAATGATAGTTGAAAAATATGCGGAGGGGATCATTCTAAACGATTCCAAAGTAAACAGGGAAATACATCACATTCCTGATTTACTGTGGAACACCGACGCGTGGAAGGAAGAATCAAGAAAGCGTTCGCCAAAAAAATTATATGCCCGATGGGGATTGGCTGGAACGGAATGAGCCGCGTTCACCTGGTCGATAGCAAACGCTAAACTGAAGCTACATGTGTCCCTAAACATATTATGTTAAAAATGATTAGGGGTGACATTCCTCGTTTGTGTGGGGATCGCTTGAAAGGGGGTCCACCCCCATTTTGACACTGCCACTTTCCGAGTCGCAGTTGTGACCTCCCAGCGGTTCGAAGAGAACCACATGATATACGTCCCGAGACAGTATTGTAGGTTGAATAATTCTGACTTGTCACCGATTAGCTAAGGGATGACCTCGATTTTTAATCAAATTTACGGCGAACGGTTGGTGACGATGGTAGACGGGTCGGGCCGTGTTCTGAAGCAGGTGGCGTTCGAGTTTTCTGATCTAACTTTTCAAAAATCGCTTACTTATTGGCAGTCTTAGGTTCAAATGATGCAGGAGAGAAACTGTAATCATCTCAAACTTCAATAAAAATTCTGAAGCTTATCGGGAATGTTTAATAAATTATCAAAGTTTTGGTGACAACTTGGCGTGTGCACCCTGTATATACGCCGTACATAGTGCAGAGAGTCACTTTTTCTGACGAAAAAAGAGAATGGACAATTTCAAAAAGTTTCCGGATAAAACTCGCTCTTAGCTGCCTCACCGAGCGGTTGCAATTGTTTCAAACACCGGAAGTCTCATTACCTCATTTACTGGAATTCGCAGCAATGCTCTTAGAGGTCTTCATCATACATACATACGAGTACATATATACAGAGGGTGAGCCACCCACATTGGCACACTGCACAAACTGATTTTTTAAAACTTCCTTTCGTCTTCAACAATTTTTTCAAAAACATTATCCGATAGCCTGGGGTATTTTGTACTTGATAAATATATCTGAGCTTAGTAAAAGATGTCTTTCAAAATCCAGGAAGAAAAACCTGGAGCGGGGTAGAAAAACAGTGCGTTTCAAAACTGGAATGCCTTTCGCAAAACAAATTCCTGAAAATCCCCCTTTACCGATCATTACATACGAAATGCATTAAAATGTTAAAGAATCAATGCTCTTTAAGACAAGTGTAATTCGGTTTTGATCAAAGCCATGGTTGAGTTTTTCTGGACGTCGGCTCCCAAAACTGACCGGAAGTCCAGAAAACATCTGCCATTCTCTAACTAATTGTCCATTCGTCCTGAATTTCATAGAATATCTTCTACAAGCCTGTCTAAATAAATATTTGTTTATATCAAAGCAAAATCGGCATCGGCGGTTTTTTTGCCACGAGTTTCCCACTGCAAAAGGCAGCCGCTTAATTGAAAGTGTAAATCCCCAATTTTTTAATACTTCTGTTTTTTTCCCTCGGGATCCTGAAAAGGGATTTCACACAACTTTATACTTTTTCATATAGCCCTTAAAATCTTCTAAAATTAGAAACTGAATGTGACCAAAAAAATTCTTGCTTCATTTAATAATCATTGAAAAACAAAAATACGAAGTGAAACGTTTTGTCTGCGTTTTTTTCGCCGGTCGCGGACACTTGTGGTCACTTTATGTCACGTGCGCGTAATATCTTCATGGAAAATTAGTTGTTTTCCGTTCACAGAACGCTATGGGAAAAAACTGCATCAGCGGATTTAAAAGAACTTGAGTCTAGAACTCACAAATAATTTCCTACCAAAAGTGTGCCAATTTGGGTGGCTCACCCTCTGTAAAGCAAAGTAACTTAAGTAAGTATGTAGATGAAACAATTTTCAACACGAATAAGGGACAATATTTTCAACATGAACATGGTTTTCAACATGAACATTTTCAACATAAACGTGGTTTTCAAAACGAACAAAGGGTTGCCATGAGGAAAAATAGTGTGAACGGTTAACCGCAAAACCCTGTACATGAAATGTACTTAGTTTCGTCATTTGTTGTTTAAAATGTTTTTTGTGTATAGTAAATGGCGAAATGGAGACCGATTGCAATACTCGTCCAGGAAGTTTTCCCAAAGCTGCAGTTTTTTCGCAACCGACGTTTCCTTTCCGCACCGATAAATTAACATGGGATGAGTGTATGGCGTATTCTAATGTGACCGATGGTTCCCGCTGCAACCCGGCCGGTCTGCAACAGTTCTGCAATCGAACAGTACCGGATGAATTTTCCTTGTATCCCATGTCACGCACCTTCCTTGCAGTGGAATGCGGGCAGAGCACTCGACCGCTGTTGGCCAGTGTAACGAAGAAAGTGAGCACAGTTAGTCCTAACCGCGCCATTACTATCAACCTGAACGAGCGCAACGACACCCTCTTGGATCCCGTGCATCCTGACGTCGTTGAGCCGGTTCGCCAGCAACTAATCGAACTAAATATTGGTTACTGTGCCACTAGAACGATAATGTCCAAGGTGTATGCACTGGGTCAGCTGCCGTATGTCGTTCGACTCAGTATAGCATTATGCAAGAATATGATCGTCAAGAAGAAGGATTTCCAGAATGTCCAGCAGTTGCGCGTCTTTTATTTGTTCCAGTCAACGATCGGCGCCATGGAACCATACACCTTCACTGATCTTGTGCATCTGCAAAATCTCGCACTAGAATCCGGTTTGTACTTGCGAATGAAAAATCGAGACGAAGACGGGGGTTCTCCGTTTTTCCGTATGACCGACGAAGAAAGCCAGGACATTCGCCGATTGCATTGTGACTGCTTGTTCGCCTGGTTTCGAAATTTCCTCCAGGAGAAGCCATATCTGCTTGCCAGCAGAACGCGCGGCGAGATATTCAGTATTGGAAATTACATGTCGGATTACGTTTTCGCCAACAACGCCGATGGGACCCAGTCTATGTTTTATGTTGACTGTGCAAAGAATTTGTCCATCAATAACATAAATGCCGGTCCCCTGTTTTCCTATAACACACAGTGTATCAAGAAAAAGTGTTAGCTTTTTTCATCTTGCTGCAGTGTTTGAGGGTTGAATGTCATTCTGTAATATGTGCAGTAGTTTCATGTGGCCAGGATGCAGCTGCTATGATGCCACAACAATTCTTTTCTGGTGCTTTTCACATCTTCCTTTTTTCGCTCCGTTTGATTGCTATTCTTACAGTATAACGTAATAGGAAAAACAAGTATTTCGAAAAGACACACTAGAACTACCTTTCTTGCCGGCGATTATACTCAGCTGTGCTCAAATTACATACAGCATTACTATGTTCGACCTTGGGTCGCAATACTAAAACTTTGCAATAAATACTGTCATAGCGGAATTTCTAAACGCCGTGTACCGTAAAGAAGCTCAAATACAGCTCGTAATTCAAGAGTAAAATATACAACTTTTGAATCATACAGCAGTTCCTTTAATTTGATGATCGACATACAACAGTTGTATGTATTTATTTACTTAGAAACAGAAGCTCCTCCCGGTCCTGGATACCGTAATGCAGTTTGTGCTGTATTCACAGTTTCACATCAAAGCCATGTCCAATGAATGGTTGCCGTATGAAACGCAACTTAATAAAACAAAAGTCTTTTGGTTAATATTTAATAATGTTAGTGCTGCAGCGTGCAGGGTTATACATAGGCAGCTCGGACAAGATAAACTACAGAACGATGCTTCTACAGTACGTGCACACTGAACACCCGTTGTTGCGGTTGAGGCACGTATTTCAACATATGCACTAGTACGTACTCGTAGTGCAGCATATGTGCTTAAAGTGAATAAGCTGATGCCGATACACAATCAAAAACAACTACTACTAGTAACTGAACCAGTTTTGGTGTATGGCAAAGTTAGAAGCAGAGTAATTTTGCTTCCAGAACGACAGATGGCCAGCCTAGCATCGCGTTTTGTAACTCGTACTTCGCCTTCCGGAAATCCTAACATTCCATCATTTAAACCGTGCTTCTGTCATAATTATGTTTATGTTTTATTTTTTAAACAGTGAGTGTCTGCTGCTTTTTGTTTGGGTAACGACATTTTCGTCCTTGCACGGACTTCTAACGCTTACGACATTCAGGTCGGCTTTTTCGGAGCGCCTTCCATAAACAGATTAGGTATCTTTGTAAATGCGACGTAACGCTATCCCTATTAGGAAAATACCACAAACCTATTGTCTCATGTGATGTTTTCAGTTTACGGGCATGTTTCATAGTCGCCCGTTACGTTGGCCGTCCTGGTTAAATAAACTTGTTGGTTCTCTTCACAGTCGCACACGATGGACGACCAGCAGAATAGATGCTCCCGTTTGGAAGTCCTCCTGGGAATCGCTGATTTTCGACCTCCCAGCGCTATGGACGCCTATTCTTTAATTGGACAAGGAACCACCGGCATCGGTGTCTTCAAAGCTAAAGCCAAAAGCAACGGACAGAAATATGCCGTGAAAAAATTCCGTTTCCGTCGGGAATTTCTAGCAGCCGCTGAAAAAGGCGAAATGCTCTCGTACAACACCGTCGTCAATTCCATACAGGAATTTAAGAATATTCGCGACTTCCGACACTTGAACCTGGTCAAATATTTGTGGGTGTACGTATTATTTGACCGGAAACCACAAGAACACCATTTGTGTGTTGTTATGGAGCGTTGTTATGGTGAGGAGCAAAAAATGTCAGCAACTGTATTTCAAACACGTTTTATTCTACCATCATAATTTTCCCTGTGCTAATTTTTATCGTACATTTTTGTACTTTTCTTAAGAATAGCTTATCTCACTAGTACATAATCTAAAATTTACCATGCAGTTGCAAAAAAAGTTTTTCGCGAGTAATTGTGTTAATATTTTTAAAGGAGGTATCTCCTTTGCGAAGCCATACATCGAAACAGTTGTAATGCGAGAAACTTCGAATAATTACTTCTACTCAACGAAGAACTGACTGTATTACTTTTCAGGCCCGACATTAGATGCCGATCTGCGGAAGCATTACGCCCGCCGCAGCACCGGATACGCTGAAGCAGAAATTCGCCGGCACTTTACCAGCGTCGCACTGGGTCTGCACTATCTACACGAACAGCGCATCGTCCACCGGGACCTGCGTCCAGAGAACTTAATCTTCGCGGAGACCACCAAGCAAACTCTGAAGGTCACTGACTACAGTACTGTAGTCAAACTGCAGGAGAGCGTGACGATGACCAACGAAGTGGCTGGCGGGGCTGGTCCGCCATGGACCTTCAAAGCGCCGGAACTGGTGGATGCGGTGAAATTCGGGCAAGCTGGACGACGTAGTGATGTGTGGAGTCTAGGGTGTATTCTGGTTTTAATGTTGCAAGGGACACCGCCCATTTTTCGTTACAATGCCGGTCGGAAAGTAATCAGCGCCGTGTCGCCAGACGAAGTGCGGACGGCTCTTTCACAGGGCGTAGTGCCTTTAATGGACGGGGATTTCGGTCGCAGACCACGTTATGGCGTCGAGACGCGTTTTTTGAACTCGGCGAAAGCTGTTTTGAAGAAATGTCTCGTACCGCATAAGGACCAACGACCTTATATGAATTCTGTACGAGATTATGAGTTTTTCAATTATGTTGCTCCCTGAATTGGTAGTCGTTTTAAAATACTGATTGTCAGTGGGGTGTTGGAATAATTAAAAATGCACCTTCTAGCAAATAAGATGGCCGGTATCCAATAATCCACAGTACATCATAATCCGGTGACAGTATTCGACAAGTGAGTCATTAGCTGCGCGAAGGGTACGGCTGTCAGAATTTCAAGGCGGCATAACGCGTGATTACGTAGATTTCAATCAAACGAACAATGGCACGATATGAAATCCGCGCCTGCAGGGTCTGTCATCTGACTTTCATTTCTACCTTCAGCGAACATAAAAATCGTAGCTTGCCAAAAAGATAATTAATAATTATTGACGTACAGGACACGTGACAAGGATATCCGTGCCGAGCCTGACCCATTTGTCCTAATTCTTGTTACCCACCCGTGTTACCAGGAAATAACTTATACGAAAAAAATCCCGATTTTCCGTGACACTGTCCCAAAAACGACCACGTACCGTACTTTTAAAACAAAAAGCTACTATAACCTGTTTTCAAACGACAAATACGTTAGCTTGTCATTTGACCAATGGTAGCTCATTGCAATTAACATTACCATACTGACATGCTATGCGGAAGTCGCACAGCAACAACCGCACAGATGACCAAATCCACTCAAATCCACTCAATCGTATAAAGTGAGAGTTTGCTCTGGACTCCGTATACAGAGCTACCTACATCCGCTAGGTACAAGCGGAATGCCGTGCCTACCGAAAGTCAACGAGACCGAAACATTCAGGAACTTCCCAAATGTTTAACCACCCAACTAAACGAACAACGCAAACAGAACAAAACGGAAGGAAATGAACTTCCTTTTAGCCTAGAGCTAACATAGAAATTCTGCTACAAACCTTAATTCGACTTTTCAGCTAGAAGCAAGCCCACAGAATTAGTTGAAGTTATAATGTTCAGACTAATTAGTTAAGCTATTGCATTAGAAAATGACAACAAGTCATACAGTCATAACGGAACAAACAACAAGTACGTCACAACACATACGTAAGTTATCCACGCACAGCGCTTTAATATTCTAGGAATGATTCGTAAAATCGAAGTAAGAGTTTGTAGAAAACGCTTGTGTGATTGTTGAGGTAAAATACAGTTGCCTCTCAGTCAGAATCCGAGTCTGAGCCATTAGAGTTAGATTCATCCTGCTCATCGGTATCCTCGTAATCATCATCACCGTCATCATAGCCATACCCAGCACTACTGGTGTGATAATTCGCATCGCCATCATCATCATCATCATCGTCATCGTTTTGATCATCTTCCGAAGAATCGGCGTCAGAGCCATCATTGTGGAAGTGCAGATGCTGATGCACATGATTAGACTGTCGCACTTCCGTATCATTATTATCCGAAACTAAATCGGCCAGCTGCAGTAGAGTATTGACCAAAGTCGATCCAGTTTGCACCACCTTCTGCAGCGCGCCCAGTGGATCCTTTTTAATTTGACGGAATAGTCCGTTTCTGACGCCCTTCGTGTGTTCCATTACTTCCGATTTAAGCTTTTGGAACATTGCCTTGCCTTTCACAGCGCCCTGAAAATATAATTTTTGTTGTTCTCAAACTTGTAATTTCTTCGATTGTGGAAAGTGGCTATGCGGTCATTTGTCTTTCTACAAAATTGTGCAGTTTGCTCGGTTACCGTAATAAGTTTATGATTCAATAAATCTCTTGCTGTCGGTCGTTCGGATGCATCCGCTTTCAAGCAGAGATCAAGAAATTTCTCGGCATCCCGCACAAACTTTTCTGTATCGCCACAGTTCTCCCGGTTAAACTGCGGATAGCGGAAAGGTTTCTCTTGCGCCGATAAGGCTTTAGCAATATCCGTTCCACGCAGTTCCACTTTTTTGTCGCCGGATTCGAAGCGGTAATACCTCGGAGCGTGACCCTGCAGCATCTCCAGCAGGACACAGCCCAACGACCAGATGTCGCTCTTCCGACCGGTTTTGCCGAAATCCTTGTTGAAATTCTCTGGTGCCATGTAAGGGTACGTTCCCGCGGCGCCGACAGCATCCCCCGAACCCGTTGTCATACCGGCAAGCTGCACCGATATGCCAAAATCAGCAATCTTGGCGGTTCCGTCGGCCGTAAAGAGAATATTTTGTCCCTTCAGATCACGATGCACAATCCGTTTATCGTGCAGAAAGGCGAGACCGTTGAGAATTCCCGTAAAGTCGCGTACGATTTCCGATTGACTGTATCGCTGGCCGGCTTTCTCCAGTTTCTCATTCTTCTCCGAAAGCGACCCGCCTGCACAAAACCGTTTGTCTAAACTCTAATATACTCGTATTACAGTGTATGTTGAACTGCAGTACGAGTACTTGTTTGGTGGCATTATCAGCGGGAAAATAAAATAAGAGTTAGTAATTAATAAAATAATCCAAACAAAAACAAACAATAATAAAATAAAAATATAATAATACGTTAACAAACGTAAATTAATGTCTTATGCACATTACCTTCACAGTACTCCATCAAAATCCGCAACTCCTGTGCGTCACTGTACATTCCCCAGTCCAAATAATGGTACTTGACCAGATGATTGTTAGGCGAATCGAGCCCGATGATCGTCTTGAACTCCTTGATTATTTGCTTGATAGCTTCATTCGTTGACAGGTTAGAATCCCGTGGGTTAATACACTTCACAGCAAATTTCCCAGGTTGTACATTTGCGGCACTGGGTGTCGCCGCGTATACACCGTGGCTTTGTCCACCCGTGCCAAGGCTCTTCTCGCGATCAAAGTTGTACGTGAACTGGGGCCGAAATTTTTCGATATCCCAATGTCCAGTCAGACTGTTCGACGATTTATCAGTTGATCCATGAGTGGACCGGTCGTCCACTGGTGTGGTGACTGCGGTGGCTATCGATGAATCAACCTGCTGAATTATCCCGGTTGACAGTTGGGCCAATGCGCTGATGGTGCTGTTAGGAGCGTGCGAGGTTATAGATGTTCGGGAAGCCATAACGTAACATTCAGGATGGGAAGAGCATCGAACTAAAAAAGCCTTGGTTAAATATCTGTAGTCACAATGTTTTCCGCAATCGAGCGACCATTGCGCGGAGTCAGTACCGGTGTCCGCTTGCTTTGCCACTACCGGTACCGATGATCGATGCCTCAGATTGATGCTTCCGTTTGCAGTAGCGCCATCACGTGCACTTTTGTGGAACCGGCGACAAAAGCAGTTTAATTAATGAACTACGCCTGACGTATGGCAGAGATATCCTCCAGCTAGTTCGCATAATTATACGTTATACCGGGAAAGAACCTAAACAGAAGCCGAGCAAAATCGTGTAAATGAATCACTCAGCATTGTTCGTTTCCATTCATAATTATTTCAGTGCTATTAATTCTGGCGGCTTTTCTCGTCATACCATAAAGATGACGAAGTTTCCGGTTTGGCTAGCGTTTCGTGCAACTTGTACACTACCTGACAGTCTCTGTCTGTATCACCTATGGTCTAGAAGGAAAATAATCATGCAGTAAACGGGTACAGTGAGAACCTGTGAGGTAGAACTGTGAGATTGAACATCTGCGAGCAGTAAGCAGGCTTTACACTGTACGCCCTTCTAGGCACCGGCGCGTCTCGTAGACTGTAACATCCTACCGTACTGTGATTAATATTACTGAACACTTGCTTACATTGTACACGTGTGAAGGGCTGTAGGTGTGTAAAAGGCTATTTCCCGGGTTTCTTTTGTAAGCGACGAAACGGAGACTGACTGCAGCTCGAGCTCAGATAACACGCAAAAGGTACAAGATGCGTCAGAATCATCAGGATTCAGGGGAACATTACGAACAACATTTCCGTTTCGAATGATAACCTTCCCGCTTCCGTGGGATGAGTGTATGATATATTCTTCCGTAACCGATGCTTTCAGCTCCAATACGGTCGATCTATACAAACAATCACGAGACCGACTGAATGTCATGTAGTCCAATGTCGGGTAACCGACGACACGCACTTTTCGTGAAGTAGACTCCCAGGCGCAGTTAGTCGGCGTAATGCAAGGGAGAGCAATGGCAGGCATAATCGCACCGTTGCTCTTGGACTGAACGACGATACCTTCCCATGCATGCTGACGTCACCGACCCGGTTCGCAATCCATCGAACTGACCGTTGGTCAACAAATGTCACCAACATGTTAATGTCTAAGATTTTTGCACTGGATAATACTGTATGCATGCGCTGGATGGTATGTCGGGAATATAAAACACGGCCACAAAATGAGCGTTGTCCTCCAATAACGCGTGTAGAGACTGCACCAATTTGTACTTAAAAATTCAAAACTCCTTGGAAAAGACTTCCTTCGGAGTGTACCACAAATGTATTAAAACGCCCTGGAGCAGAACTCAACTAAGCTAGTAACAGTGACAGTGATTTCCGCGATTTCTTCGGAAATTGATCTTCCTGGTTAATTGGGAAAGCAGCACAATCACATATATACTTCTACTGCTACACCGCATCCGAATCCAGATCAATCTATTATTTGTTGTTTTTGCATTTTATGGGCTTTCCTTTAACTAAAAGCGTGTCCGGATATGTGTACATATAGATCAGTGCTGTAATTCAGCGACCGAATACATATTTTGTTGAACTTCATCATGTTATTACATATTCTGCGCACATTCAAAATCGAATTACAACACAAAGTAGTCTGCTCTTTGACAACTTGATTACTGCAACAATTATTTTAACGTCATTCGAACTCTTTCCTGATTTCAGCTGGTGCGCGTGGTTGAATAATTGTAGTTCGCTTAAAAACATTACTGAACTGAGTTAATCAAATGCATGGTGGTCAGTAATGATTACGATGCTTTGCGTTAAAGAAGGGGTCACCTGCAAACGCGGCTATCACATATTTCCTGTTTGACAACGCCTGATATGAAGACGAATTATCATGGCAGTATATGAATCTTTCCGAATGGGAGAATTACCATTTTCCATACTTAATATCCGGGTTGCGCGGAACACCGTTTATGAACGCCAGTTTCCACTTCCGGTAAACAACTACCTGAATTTACTTTCATAATATATAAAGCAGATAAATGCTATTGTACCATCGCAATCCCATTTTTCAGTTTTATTTGGCTCAAACACTGTTGCTGTTTCCTGACGGTTAAAGAATTCAAGTGGGGACGGCATTTTCCAGACGAAGGTAGGATCTAAATTACTCCGGTACCTTAGTAAATTTCGCTTCCAGAACAATAGTCTGAAGTTATACACAGTCGCCGCTGTACTTGTAGTCTGTAGAAGGTGGCCAGATATCTATTAATCTTCGAATTATGTAAGACAGCATTATCGCAGATTCCTAGTTTGTAGATATACGTCTGTTTTTTGTAGGAATGGCAAAGATGATAATGGCCTGTCTGCTCCTGGCGTTGGTGCTGGTTGCTCGCATTCAGGATACCAAAGCGGACACTTTCTACGGAAGCGTTGCGGCGGCGTGTAGATGGCTGAAGGATAACTTTGGCTACGGCTGCGACGGGCAGGCGGAACGCTGGATTTGGCAGACTTATCATCGTCTTCGTTATGGTGCCACCGACTGCAACTCCTATTGCATCCGCTCGCTGAACAGACCACGCGGTGGACGGTGCCTCCGACAGCCGAATTACGACCAGAGCACGTGGTGCCCTCCTGGACAAACATGCACTTGCAGTTGATACAGAAATAGGAGTTCGTGGGAAGTTGTATGGTGGGCGTGTACAGTACATATTCCTTAAAACTATGATAAATAAAAACTGCATAAAAACGAAACTGCGCAAAACCCAAAATACGAGTATAATAGCTTTTACTGCTGTACCACTTTATTGTGATCATTTATTATGATTCGTTATTAATTATTATTTGTTGATTATGTTGTTATTTATTAATTATGTTCTCTTTTTCATGTTTTTTGAATATTAGAATTTAGTTTTAATCAATGTAAGCTTGTGCAGGCGTATCGCTCTGTGCACTGTTCGACTGTTGCCGAATAAAAGTAAGAATGTACTCGTACTAGTAATACTAGTAGCTGTACTCGTATTGAACCACTTCTTTGGACGCTACTGCGATCGTTTAACTAGGCACAAAATAATAATGAACGCCTGTTACCGTGCAGCCCAAGTCAATCGCATACACCATATCCAGTTACCCGCAAATCCACCACAAAACGTTTTTTGCTGTTTTCCCCATATGCTGCCTGATCCGCACAGACGCAATGTCCAACAGTTCGCCAAATCCGAATTTGCTGTAGCCGCAGTTCAGATAACGTTCCGGCCATCGTCGAACCGGCCACACACAGGTGACAGATCCAATTACATCACTGAATCAGCTGCAATAAAATCCAGCGCGAATTTGGGAAAGCCCTTTTTTTTGTTGTATGTGATGGTCGCCACATTGCGCTAGTTAATATCGGGTAAGTTGCGTTGGGACCTTAATAAACTTGTACTTTGTTTCGTCAAGACGCATTCCGAGATTTGCTTTCGCGATTTATAGTAAGCGGCCAAATGGAGACTGATTACAATAAACGGCCAGAAAGCTCAACCAAAGCTGCAGTTTCTCCCGAACCAACGTTTTCCTTCCGCTCTGATAAGCTAACGAGCGTCGAGTGCATACAGTTATCTGCAGTTCCAGCAGCAACCCATTCTAGTTGTAGCCCGGTTCGTTCTCGGCAAGACTGCGACAGAATGCAAAACGATGAATTTTTAATTGTCCCCATTTCACGCACTTTCCTTGAGGTGGACTGCCCGTGGGTTCGGCGGGACCTGTTGACCAGTGTAACAAAGCTAGTGGGCACTATCAAACCTAAACGCGCTATGACCATCACACTGAAGGACCTCACCTCCCCCTCCGAAGATCCCGTTCATGCTGACGTAGATGAACCCAGGGCCTAAAAACTTGTGCCCACGTAGCACAAAGTGTGCTGACGTAAAGGTGTATGTGCTCACCTAGATGAGGACGTGTGCTTAAAAACTGCCAATACTCCCCTCTTTGTTGTGATTTTCCAACTTTTAGATGTTATTTTATTTTATCAGAGAAACGTAGTGCTCCCCATCTCTGACCAACTGCAAAGCAACATAACTTGGCAAAAGCGAATATTTTAACATAGCTCAGATCAGCATGTAAACTACTGTAGTCGTGGCCAGTTAGCTATTGTTTAATGGGTTGGCAAATCCGTTTCACGATCTGTCGGCTTTCAGAGTTTGAAAGTTTGACACAATGGACCGGCAGCGATGCTGACCTCATGCTGACTAACGCTTCACAAATTACCATGCTCACAGACGGTAAAATCTAATTTCTATCGCCAAGTTGATTTGACTTGCAATAATTGTCCAGCTGCGAAGCAAACCTGCGGATTATATCGAAGCGGAGGCCTTAAAGCTGCAGCTGGCTGAGTTCAAAATGGTAGCAGGCCGGAAGAAAGCATCGTTTTGAACCATGGGAAATAATTAACCCAAGAAAAACAAAAGGTGACAACTCCGTACACAACCTCTTACTCGGTTCACAACCTTCGACACCACCTTTTATTCTGCTCACTGCCTTTCTTTCCCTTTCGCGTTTCACGTTCTCCCATTAGAAAAAACTAACGAGAATTTTGCAATATTTGATTTCTTACACCACAATTTTGGAAAGTGTAAAGGAATATTTTGCTTGTACAACCAAAACAAAGGGGTTGCACATGCGGCTTGAACGATCGGAGGTGGCCAACTCATTCGCGTTCACACCCCTTCCTTGCGCTTCCGGTCAGCAGCTTTCCATTATCCCCACCCTCCCCACGCACTGATACGTTTCAAACAGGAGACGTACAGCATTAACGAGGTATCAGTGCAATTTGAATTGAAGTAGTTATGAACAGCTGGGTTGAGTGAAATAATCGGTGGATATCAGTCTGATTCGCCGTTGTCGTACAGACGGTTAAATCACTTAAATCACTTAAATGATTTAAGCGCACCGCCGGAAGAGGTTGCGAAGTGAACAAGGTAGTGCCAAAAAGTAATGGACGGAGTGAATGGTTGAGCAAAAAGTTGTGAAATGAGGGGTTTTAAAAGGTCGTGAACGGGGTACCAAAACAAAAGCAGGCAGCCAAAAAATGCAAAGAAGATCTAAGCAAAAATATACAACCTAGCATTCTGATATGCCATTGCATTTCCTGCTGGTAACTCGGACATGTTAGGTTGTGTTTATTTTTTTCATTTGCGGTAACAGTGTTCCAACTTCCTACTTAATTACCGAGTTGACAGTTAACACAACCATTTATTGAAAACCATATTATAGAAAACCAACCGGTTTCCTAAATTTCGAAAAATATGCTGACGGCAGTTAGAGAGCAAGGTAAAACAGACATGGTACGGAGAAATCACAATACTTGAACGCCAAACAAAGCTTAAAAAACAGCCACAAAGAAAATTTAAATTTAAATTGGCTATTTTTCTACGAGTTTCTTGCAGTTCTTGCAGGATACAGTACGTTAGCTTCGAGCTTCGCGTGAAGTCCCCCCCACCTAGTTGGATCCTAAATGTTTATTTCGTTTGGCCTTCTTTAGGAAATATTGTCTGCTTCAGCTTCGCGCGAGAAATGTACTTGCGCTGCATTTTGTTACAAGTTCTCTGAACGCTTCAGTTCACTTACATGGTGCAAAGATAAAAGATAGTCAATACCCTCCCCTTAGAAAAATTAAATGTGATCACGTAAATTTTGAAGATTTTAGGCTCTGGTCAACTTGAACCACTTCGTCAGCAACTCATTGCATTGACAATTGACTGTGCACTCACCAACAACATAGCGTCCAAGATCTGTGCAGTGGGGCCTCTGCCCTACGTCGTCCGACTCACTATAAGATTCGGCACAATGTTGATCGTCAAGAAGAACGATTTCCAGAATCTCCCGCAGTTACGGATGATTGATATATACAAAACGACAATCGGCACCATGGAGCCGTACACAATCACCGATCTTGTACACCTACAAAATCTTGGATTAGAAGGCGACTGGTACTAGTACTCGCGAACAGAATCCAGAGATAAAATGGAAGGTTCTGAATTAGTCCGCATGACCGATAAAGAAAATCAAAGTATTGGACGACTGCATTGCGACTGTTCGTTCGCTTGGCTTCGAAATTTCCTATTGCCAACGGAACGTACAGTGAGATGTTTGTCATCGGAAATTACATTTCGCCTAGTGTTAGGTCCGATAATGTAAATGTCCAGCCTATGTTCCATGTTGACTGTGCAAAGAATCTGTACACCAGCAATATCAATGTCGGTCCACTGTTCGCGTATAACACACAGTGTTTCCAGAACAAGTGCTAGGCTTTTGTTTACCAATACAGATCACGAAACACGTGGAGGTCTGTTTAATACTGAGCTGAAGACAAACATGCCTGTTCAATACTTACAATTAGTTGTAGAAAAACTATCTCTGATTGCTGGATCTATGTATTAGCACATGCAGATGCAAAATAATATGCCGTCAAACCTATAAGCATCCTTTATAAAAATTGATATAACAGTATGCAGTATCAACTATCACAGTACATGTTCCATCGGAAGACCTTTTACCCTTCGGAATAATTCTTGATATCTCTTGAATCTGCTCCCGGAGGGACATTTTCTTGGATGTGCTTTTTGACGCACATTTATAATGATGTCAAAAAATCACTCTTATGCCAGTCTGATCAAGATTTTGCGATTGAGCTGCTCCGTTACTTTCTGCAGTGTGAGCTGGAAGTGTCATGCAAACAATTGTCCTGTATTTGTCTTAGAGCGTGACTAGAGCCTGTAACGCACTTCGGTTTTCTCTGTTTTGCCCTATGCTGTAAACTTGGAGATGCTATTGAAAGTTTTTGACGCAAATCAGCGCAAAACGGCAAGATGGCACCCATTGGTACGAGTAGTACTTTGTTTTAGCTAAAGTGTATGTTAGGAAGGAAGCATTCTCACTGGAGTCCACGTTACCAGCCCTTTGCCTTCCCTTGCGCCATTATTGCAGTTTTTTAAGGCCTGGTTATTGATCGCAATATTTATACATGGCTTTTGCTTTTTATGATGATACTGATAGCAAGTAGTAGCTATAAAAATTAATAGACAATCTGCACAAATCTCGACCGTACAGACTGTAGTATGTAGTGCCATACCCTGCTCGAACGAACTATGGATGGCTGTTGGATTGACGCGGGCGAGTTGGTCCCGAGACTGTCGTGTTTAACTGCAATAAAACGTAGTTAACGACAAAATAAGCAAATTCGATAAACTACTGTTGCATCGTGTTTATTATTATAAACAGGATGCAACAGGGCAATTTCTTTCTGTTATTCAAACAAACAAAATAAATTACTTGTGCTCTGTTTTTTACTCCCTGCCTGCCCCATGCGCTCACGAATTCAGTTTGAATGAATCGAATGTATGCATGGTGACAACAACTGTGATTTCTTTAAGGAGGCGGAATGTTGGAAGCAGAAAGTATTTACTTACAAGTAATCGTCGTTATCGTTTCCTGTCTATCAAATGCAACCGCTATCACTCCGACAGCGTCATCTGTTCAAATAAACAACGACCATTGTGAAGTGGAGAATTAAACGAATAAATTATAGCTTATGGTGGCATATGACGTATTTTTATCTTTCCGAATGGGGGAATTGCCATTTTCCATGTTTGATATCCGGGTTTTGCTCAGCACTGTTTAAGAACGACAATTATCAAACTTCCGGTAAACAAACTGTCTGATTTTGCCTTTATACTCGTACTATATAAAGCAGATACTGTTGATGTTCTTGCAGCGTTGCAATCCAATATTAAATTTTTTTATTTAACTCGAAATTGTTCCTGATCCGAACGGTACAAGGTACAACGGTACAAGTGTGGACGAAACTTTCCGGATGAAGGTAAGACTGTAATCGCTAGCATTCCCTACTCTACCCATCCGGTACGAAAACTTTAAATTTTGTTTCAAGAACAATAGCCTGTGCGTAGTCTCCGTTTTGCTAAAACGGGCCCGGTGTTTACGAATTTACTGATTATCGCAAAATTTCCCAGCTTATCGACATACTTCTGTCTTTTTTAGAAATGGCAAAGATGATAGTGGTCTGTATGCTCCTGGCGTTGGTACTGGTTACTCGCATCCAAGATTCCAAAGCCGACACTTTTTACGGAAGCGTTGCGGCGGCTTGTAGATGGCTAAAGGAGAACCTTGGTTACGGCTGCGACGGGCAGGGGGAACGCTGGATTTGGCAGACTTATCATCGTCTTCGTTACGGTGCCACCGACTGCAACTCCTACTGCATCCGCTCGCTGAACAGACCACGCGGTGGACGGTGCCTCAACCAGCCGAACTACGACCAGAGCACATGGTGCCCTCGTGGACAAACTTGCACTTGCAGTTAACAACGCATTGGCAGTTTTGTGTAAAATTAAACCGTGCATAGGATATAGTTCAATTATGCACTTAGCTATCCATTTTTTTAAATAAAAAGCATAACAGAACCCCGCAGAATCTGCAAACTGCAAAACCTGCGCAGAATCTGCAAATGGAAAACTTCTGCTACTGCGCACCTTTATCGTGAATATGAGTATTTCACACCTTGACGTTTTTGTAATGACTGCTCATCTGCCTGGCTTCGAAATTTTCTTCAAGGGTATCCGTATTCGATTTCCAGCACAGCGTAGAGTGAGAGATATTCGTAATCGGAAACTAGATTTCAGATGATAATAATTATTAAAGCGAATGATGTTATGTCCAGCCTTTTTTCCATATTGACTGTGTAAAGAATCTCTTCCTCAGCGAAATCAATGTCAGTCCACTGTCAATGTCAGATCACATGATTTTCTGCAAGTTGGTGACTTATTGAGCTTCCCGGCAAATTTGAAAGAGATTCGCTATATCGCAGACGATTTAATGCTAATCGATGTCATAACAGTAAGTACAGTATGCTTCACTTTTATGTCCAATCCAGTTATGTGTACATAGATCCCCGCAGTATTTATATGAATTTACTACTTATACAGACGTTTTATGGGATTTCTGCATATTTTATCGATGGTCGTAATCGCATAGAATTGCCTGTCCTTGATGAACAACAAAATATTCCATCAAAGACTGTGCAATTGCCATTCGCCATCGGCATTTGGAGTGGGCGCAGTTGTCCAGTCAGCTTTTGCTACTTCATTCTTTTTTAGGCCCCTTTGTGATGTGCAGGTCGGCTTGCCTTTTTGCGGCGCCAAAATGTTGCCTTGTTGTCAGTTACGTAGCACTTTGTTTGATTGTTTTCGTGAAATTGTCAACTACATGTACTGACGATCTGAAATTGTACCAACCACAGGACAATAAAGGCTGAGACACTTCATATCTGTACACAACATTTGTTTCTGCTTGGAGGACAGAAGTAATGCAACATGAAAACAAGGGCTCGTTTAACAGTTACGGACAAATCACTCGCGTAGGATGATGAATCCCTGAAAGGAGAAAAGTCAGTATTACCCAACAATAGCAGACCTCAAGCATGTCCAGCTTTATCGTTCCCAGCCTGGTACTGCTTTAACAATTTTTTTGGTTCGAATTCCAAAGAGATAAGCAATAACCAATAACAACACATAGAAGTACAGATAGAAATATGCATGCGATGTTTTAATGCTACACTTACGTACTAGTCACGTATCGCCGGTACAACACTCGTACATTTACCGAGATGGCGAGACGATTTGCATGAGCGGCACCGGAAAGCAGCGAAGGGAAGAAAGAAAAGAAATAGCAGCAATAACTGGTATTTCAAAAATTCAGCTGTACACACAAATCTGATATTTTTCCTGCGCAATAGTTGCTAACATGCACGTATAAGAAGAAGAAAGCAGTTAGCGCGGAGATCAAAACATTGCGTTGTATTGCTTTCTATAATGTGCTGAAATCTCTTTCAGCAGAAGTTTTTCGCCTTTGTCATCGACAATTTTATTGATAATTCCGTTCGAGTTGTCTTTGTGCTTCCGCTATTATTGTTCTTGTATGGAAACTGGATAATGCGAATTTGAACCGTCAAGTATCTGTCGCAGTAGAAGTGTGATCTTAATTAACTTTCTTGATCGTACTATCTCATTTAACTTTTCTTAGAGGAGTTAGAGCCGAATTTTTTTTAAGAGTACGAAGTATACTTAAATGCGCCATCTTTATTAATTACGCAGGTAAATTTCTACCCTAGGTGTCAGTTCATTTTTGACGTTTGTCGTTGTTAGCTGCCATGGCATCTACGAGTTAAATTAGTGTAATTAAGTAAATAAATTAACTAATACTCTTTTCGCACAATTTAATTACGTACTAATGCCGTTTAATTATTTTAGTTAAAATAATCACACTTCTTGGCGTTTGATGGTATATTGACGCGTGAGAGCGCATTCTACTGTTTTTTTGGTGACATGCAGGCCTGGTATGTATTTACAAAACGGAGCTGTTCATGTGGGTAATTGTAAAACGACAAGCATCAAAGCAATCCACTCTTCATTCTTCCTCTTCATGGCTCTCATCCTCTACATCTCCGCCCTTGCGATTCGATTGATTGTTTTGCGACTGATTGCGATCATGCAACCAAACATGATAAGCGCATTCCACCGTGTCGCTCAAGTCAAGCTTACACATCTTCGTAACCGTTGCCGACAATTTCAACGACAAATCCATTACAAATCGATCGCTTTCTTTGTAATTCGTCTCAGCAGCTTCCATAGTACGCACAACGACAACGTCAAACAGCTCGCCCAACTCTGCGTCGCTGTAGTTTTCCAGAGCTTGCTGATTAACCAGTTTCCCAGCCACCATCGAGCTGGCCATATGGGGATCCACGGGCGCAGTCAGAGCGAAATCTTCCGCAGATTTCGGGGCGGCGGTTTTTCCCAAAACGAAAATTTTCATGTGAAACCGGTGCTGACCCATAATGCGGATGCCAATAAAATACTGATGGCCCGTATCCGCTCCGAGAAATACCGCAGCTTCCGCCAGAAACAGCAGCAAACTCTCGTTGTCATAGGACATCCCGAATATTACAACGTTTGCTAACCGGCCACTCTTATCAGGCAGCCGCTCACGGATACTGTACACTCCACCGCTGGATACGACGTGGATGAGAGCGCCGCCGCCCAGGCGGTTCGGGTACGTGTACGACACGGCAAACGTGAGGCCACATTCCTTCCCGTTGTTGTTCATACCGTCCATAACGTCATGCACAAGACTTCCGATGGTGCAGCTATCAACATCAGTGCCGAGACGACGAGCGAACACCATTCCGTAATGGACGAAGATTCGTCTAGATTGGCCCTGACTTTCATCGACGACCTCGTCGAACTCTTTCGGATGGTAGTTTTCGACCTTGCCCAGTATGACGGGCAGACTCCAGGGCACCAACTTCAGATCGATCACTTTAGCAGCCGCTTCTAAGTCTTTGAGCAGATGGGGAGACGCATTGGGAACGGAGGCTTCTGCAACATAAGAAATATTACACCACATAATATTATATGTGGTTACAATATAACTTTACACCACAAAACTTTACAGCGGCAAAAAGACTTAGTCACGGGAAATGTAATTAGGTTTCAGTAACTTGTTGCGGTTCCCGCTAAAAAATCCTTCAAATCTAACGGACGCCGAACGAGTACCACAAAGGACCTTGCAAAATTAAGATGTCTCGAACGCTAGAAGACAAAATAATTCGCTAGCCTCGCGCTTTGCGCGAAAAATGTCGTTATCAAGTATATCCGAAAGTGAAAGGTGTTGTTTCAGTGCGACGTTAAAAATCAGATGCCCTGCCCCACCCTGCCCCAGCCCCATTAGACGCCAAGGCTGATGCATACCGTATATTAAATTTCTTCTACAATATGCTCTGCTCCGTTACCTAGCTTTCCAGCTTCCATGCCACTCAGTTCCGACTCTAGCTTCTCCATCAAACAAAATACATTCATTTTCTCAGGTCCTAATCCTGTTTCAACCACCTGCTCGCCGAAAATATCCTAGAGCAGAGAAATTGCCATGGAAATAAAGTACTTACTTAGACGTTCACAAAAACTTAATTTACGTCAAAAACTGAGTGACCGAGTAAAAATCGGCAATGGTCGACCCATTACAGCTGGTCTCTCACCGAAATACGTTGGCGGAGTTCGAAGCACCGTTCTTTCACTTTATCACGCGACTGGTTAATGAACGTCAAGTGTCTGGGGGAGATATTGTACGTGTAGGTTGCCGTGGCTGTTAGAATTTTGTATACGGCATGCTCCTGGTCCGCTGCGGCCAAACAAACTGAGGCCAACTTCTCCAGTTCGCTTTCGGAGCAAGCAGTCGTGTCGAGGTCCTTGAGAGCCGATAGTATTTGGGCGGAGTCTTCCGACCACGCTGCTTCCACCACCCGACGATACATTCTACAGCGTCGCTTGATCAGCATATACAATTTTATGAGGATATATAGCTCCAAAGATAAAATGCACTGTGGTTGAAAAAATATATCCGTACAATGCAGTGCTTCTAAAAATACACCGTTGTTGATTTGCAAAAGTAAAGCATACAGCATACCTAAACTGAAGTTAAACTCAGGATAAGCCACTCTTCTTGATAACCAGAACACTCTTTTGCATTTGCATCAAACTAGACTCAAGCGAAATTGCTCTGAATCTGAATGGAAACGTCCGAAGATTCCGGTTACAGCTCCGGGTCGCAAAGTCGCTTAGAAAGACGAAACTGTGATAAAAAAGTTCAGAAATTCTAAAAAAGCTGCAATGCAATGAGTAGTAGCGCTAGTGGCACTGATTACGAATTTACGATGAAAGATCTAACGTCAAACAAATTGCATCATAGTATTAATACTTCAAGTAGTGACACTACTGATTACGATTGTGCAAAATTAATAGTACGTAACTGCGACTGCGGCGAACAGGCTCGGACGCGGGTATCACCGAATTCGCACCAGGGGCACTTTTTAAACTCAGAAATCATTTATCTTTCCCTTCTAATTTCCGAATACTTTGTTTAACAGTTAAACTGCGATTTATTTATCAGTCTAACACATATTTGCAATGGAAATCAGTGGTCCTTGGCCGTTGTTGCATCCGCAGGTGAAGTTCAGGGATCCATGGCACTTTCCGCTGCTGTAGCCTCGACGGCGACAGCTGCGTCGGCAGAGAAATCCCAGCGGACATCCGCACGACCCACGTGCCTCTCCTTCCGCAGCGGCAACTTCGTTGTCGTCCAACACTTCAACGTCTGTATGCATAAAATTAACAGGTACTACAGGAAGATAAGGATACTAGGCGAGTATTACCGCTCTCATGAAAGAGAACTACAGTAAACTGACTAATTCTGACCTTAACAGTAATGCCTAAAATATCGAGATCGGCCATATAAGCTGTACAAACACGAGTGTGTATTTTCCATACACTTGCTTTTTGGAAGTAGAACAAAACTTATACTGGTTGCGAGTACATAACGTAAGATGGCTTTTGCATTGAGGAATCAGTTCTTACCGGAAGCCATGCACGCAGTGACCAGGAGCGTAACCCCAACGAAAACGAGAAGTACATTGTTTGAGCGCATTCTTAAGGATTAGCAAAGAGCTGTTCTGAAACTTTTGACCCGTAAAAATTATGAAATGACCTTGATACCCAATCAAAATGATTGAATTATTATTTTGATAGTCAGAGTAAATTGTTTGTCGGCTAAAAGTTATCCTTTATATCCCGGTTCGATTTCGTAAAAAGGCATTCATGGATTAGATGTGCCGAGCACCGTCAAAATACGGAGCCAGGACGGATGCGTTTTAATTGTAACAATTTCGTTGTAATTGTACGTAGTCTACGTACTCCAGACGTACCAATTAACGTCAAACATTGCGCGATAACTCTACTTAAACATACTGTCACAAGCAATCCTGAATGTGACCCTAAAATAATGGGGAAACTGCCCAGAGCCTCGATCCCGGGAACAAAGATCCTTTATTCCAAGATCTGAGCAAGGCCCAAGCAGAGAAATCTAGAGAACTTACAGCGGCGAAGCCGCATGCATGCATCGGACCGCTGCTGTGCAGCGTCGAGCTGAACGCATGAACGAACATGAACCACTAAGAGAGCCAATCACATATGACAATCTAGAGGGCCACACCCCTACTCGTTACACTACTGTCGCCGTCACGTCTCGGGTCTGCACAACACACGTCAAAAAAGTGCTACCTGGCGAACCGGGTATATCATGGTACCAGCTCACTCAGCCGGATGTTTATGGGGTTTGCAAGACGGCTTTTTACTTTTGTAAAACGTCAATTACACAGATTGGAATAACAAAGCACCATTTACGCGCTATGGCTAATGATATCACCGATGGAAATTGGAAAGCACCCATCTACAACGTCAGCAACAGCGTGTTGCTGTTCCGCAGAATGAGTTAGGTATACGCCGTGTGTGATAAGAGTTTCGCATTGTACTGTCTACTAGGATGCCGCTTCCTTATCAGCTACGCGTTACGAGTTCCGTAATCAAATCGCACCGTTGACAACTGATATGCAGCGTTTCCTCCTTCAACAAGCGGCAGGCACCCTTGACATTTCTCCTCTTTTAGCTTATTTCCCGTAACTTTAAATTCACCGGGCGGGCGTTAAGGTAAATGCATCTGCGCCCGTTTTCCAGGTGACTGTGCGTGTGCAATAATAATGCTGTGGCATACGAGGTCATTCGAGGCCTCAGCTCACTGCCGGACGACTGGCCATAATATTGCAATCGTTACCATACTGACACCAAATTACTGATCTAGTACCGATCTAGCCGCTTCTGTTCTGGGAACTGTTGGTTGTTCAAAAGAGCTAGAAGAGCTGTTTTATTTGTTCTAGCTATTCGGTATATGAGATTTAATTGTAAATGGCATTTGCTTGTACAAGGTTGAAATTAAAAATTGCTCACTAAAAAAAATCTAGTAGGGTATAAAGGTTGCCGCACATCACAATTACAGCGCACAGTACTGATAATAATACTTGAAATAAAATTAGAGCAGCTATTAAAATTATACCGCTAGTTATTCGACCGAATAACCGGTTTTCGCTTTTCTTGTCTTCAAAATGCTTAATCCAGCCCCAACTAGGACAGGAAAATAATTTGTTTTACTAGCTGAAATACATCCGAAGCAAACGGAAGCGCTGTAACCACTAGTCTACTGTACTTGCGCTTGTACTGTACATCCGAAGCAAAGGAAGCGCTGTAACCACTAGTCTTTTTTTCTACAGTTCTACTGCTCTTATTAATTTTCTTAATGCGCAAGATGTTTTACCCCGTTGTATTCACGTTTTGCGATATCTTAGAGACCGGATATTGCAGTTGCAAGAACTGGGCATGCTCGGATTACAGCAGTTATGTGCACGACTTGTTTCCGACTTGATTCCGCAATTACAATTTTTATAGTAATGCGTGTGGTTACGTATTTGGTTCATTACGCTGCTGACCGATACGCAACCGGAAAAGGTGTACATATTTACGCACGTTAAACTTGTAATCGATATCTGTAACGAATACGACCGCTATCGCGCAGTCCGCGCCCTCTGTTAAGTAAATAGTCTCTAGTTATAAAACGAAAGCTTTTGTTATGCGAGTTTTATTGTGATCATTTACTATACAGTTTTATATATAAAACTGAGTTTTATCTACTTTTGCCAATGTTAAGCAACAAAGCACTGTCGCATTAATACACCAGCAAAATTCAAAGTCATCAGTTCGTGTCACGGAAACGAAACTAGAGCATGAAACTAGAGCGGTGATTCCCAGCTCACGAGAAATTCAAAATATGCTAAATATGGCATAGAAACACGAATTTTCAGCAGCACTAGCACAGCCACTATAGTAATCCCTTAACGCAGCAACATACTAAATTCTCTACTAATAGCAAAGCAACACCCTCATCAGTTTTCTTCTGCCGAATCAGGATGGCCCTCCACGACTCCTCCATTATCGAATGCTTGATCCTTTTGCGGCTGGCTGCTGTGGCTCAACCATACCGCATGAGCGTTTTGTACAGTGCGACTGAAGTCAATCGAAAACACCTTGCTCGACGATGCCGACAACTTCACCGGCAAATCCACCACAAAACGCTCGCGTTCTTTGTAGTTCTCCTCATCCGCTTCCAGGATCCGCACAACCATAACGTCAAACAGCTCACTCAACTCCACATCACTGTAATTTTCCAGATCCCGATCGTTGACCAATTTCCCGGTCACTGTACAACTGGCCATGCGTGGATCGACTGGCACGGCAGCACCAAAATCCTGCGCGGATTTCGGACAAGCAGGTTTTCCCAGGATAAAAATTTTCAAGCGGAACCGGCGCTGCTCCATAATACGGGCGCCAATAAAATACTGCTGATCCGTGGTCGGGCCAAGATGCACCGCGGCTTCCACCAGAAACAACAGCAGACTCTCGTTGTCGTAGGAGATTCCGAATGTAGCAATGTCTTCCACACGGCGATCCTCGTGAGATAGCATGTTCTGGATGTTGTACACTCCGCCACTGGACTTGACGTTGGTGAGGGCGCCGCCGTCCAGACGGTTCGGGTACGTGTAGGACATGGACGATATCATTCCGACGTTCTCTTCGTTTTTGTTCATACTGGAAACAAGATCCATTGCGAGACATCCGCTGGTATGGGCGTGTACAATCGTGCCGTGACGGCGAGCGAACACCATACCGTAATGAACGAAGATCCGTCCTGACTCTTGATAACTTTCATCGACCACATCGTCGAATTCTTGCGGAAGGTAGTTCTCGGCCTTGCCCAATGTGATCGGCAGACTCCAAGGCACCAACTTCAAGTTGACCACCTTAGTCGCCGCTTCGAGGTCTTTAAGCAGCTGAGGAACTGCACTGGAAACGGAGGTCACTGCGAAATTAAAAGATTTACATGCAATATTTTCCAGAATTAGCAATTGTCAAATCATATTTTACTGTTCATGAAAAATTTCTGGAAATACTGACAACCAATGACAATGTCAGACAGGCACCGTAGTGACCGTAGTGACCGTACACATATTTCAGTACGAGTATTATTACTGTAATAAAAAATGGAGTCAGCTGTATGACTTTATGCCCCTTCACCTTGTTTTCCCGCTTCGATGTCGCATAGCCCAGACTTCAACTGTTCCACCATGCGAAATACTGTCATTTTCTCGGATCACGATTCAGTTTCGACCATCTGCTCACCGAAAATTTCCTAGAGGTGAGAATTTGCCGAGAAAAATTATTGCAAGCAACCAGAAGGTTATGCTTGAAACCAATATACCACTCGGATTTCTCATTGTGAGCGCAGGCGTACATGCGTACACCCTCGCTTGGCAGTCTGTTGCGTGTTCATAGCGCGCCCGCCTTACGCGTGGCGAAAGCATGGTGTTCTGCGCGCACCCGCATCATGTGGCGGCTACGTGCGCATTTTTCACGCTTGCTGCAGTCAGCAATGCGGAGTTGTCCACATGGAAATTCTTACGAATTTAGTGTTGTCATAAAGTTCTAGCAATCACGCCATTTCTCGCTTTCCATAGCGTAGGCGCTGTATAGGATTGCCAGATCTGTTTGGTAGGCAGAATTCCGTTAATTCTGTTCCTACGCGTGAACCTTCATCAGGTCCACGCTTATATGGTAGCAAGAGTCGTGTTCTCCAGGATAATCCCTGAGTTTTTCCCGTCCATCTGACGAGGAGTGGAGGATTTTTCCCGCGAGAAAGGGCTCGCGTACGGTTTGGTGGCGAAGGGAGCGTTTGGATCCACTCAGCAGACTTGAAAACGGTGCATCTCTACTGCGTAGAGTGTACTGTATCAGTCTGACGCGGTCAGGGCTACTGTCGTAGCTTTGACTGGAGGGGCACAAGCGCCGAGAAAGATCGCCAGAAGAGGCAGAAGCCCGAAGGGGGGCACGAGTGGGCAAGCCACTTTGGACTGCGGGTGTGGAGTTTCAGGTGCTACTCTACTGCAGTAGAGAGCACACATAATACGCGCTCACCCAAAAGGGTGATCGAGCGCCCCTGTCGTTGCCAACGTCAAGGCGCGACAGAAGACCCGCAGCCAGCAAGTCTTTTGGTCGACGCACCGCTGCGTCCTGCTGATACGAAGCAGAAGGGGTGTCGGCTGGCCCAGGAGAAGTCAGCTAAATCGCTGGAGGAGCATCAGGAGGATTCGCGGAAGGACGCAGGATCGATTTCTAGACTTGGGAGACGAACAGGTCAGAATTTCGGTTATTAATTTTACCATTGGTCGATAGGTAAAATCTCCAATTTTCATTCGTCGGTTCTGAGCTGAGCAGAGAAGTAGGCGGTACTTTTGCGCACGGCGCGCTAGCAAAAATTTTCGGTTTTGGTCGTGACGTCACTCTGCCTTATAAACAGAATAACAACGCTTCTGATTGGTCGGTTATTCGCACTGCGATTGGCGCAGCAGCGTAGCTAAAGTTAGCTAGGAAATCAGCCAATTAAAAGCTCAGATTTTGTAAGGAGGCGGAGTTCTTGCGCACGACGCTCAAGATCGTGACGTAGCTAGCTAAGAAAATTTTCTCAACTGACTGACGAGAAGTTGACCTTTACTAAAAAAATTTTCGACGAGAATGATGACCTTTATTAAAAGTTGAAAGCTGAATAAATAACGTTTATTTTGAGGAAATCTGAGTTGATTTCTCAGTAAAATCCAAAAATTTTCTCAGGTTGAACGTTTTTGACCAAAATCGATCGTGACCTTTAAATGGAATAAGTTCTGAAGAGAAAGTGACCTTTAACGTGACGGAGTAAGCTATTAGGCTGAAACAGCGGAAAATAAGTTTAATCTTATTAAGGGGAGTGACCTTTAGAAAAGACTCAGCTCTTTTGGAGGCAGAGTGACCTTTAATAAAGTTGAGCTGATACAGAAGGGAAGGTGACCTTTAGGACAGCACTTGTTTCTGTTTACGTGTAAAGGGGCTTACGTAGCTAAAACTAACACACGTGTCAGAAACATTATTAGCATCGTCCAAGTTATCCGATCATCAACGGAAGCCAAAGATATGGACCAAGACACAGACGGTAATGAACCAGTCTCATCAAGCAGTCAGAGAGAACGGTCTCAGGGGTTAGAAAACCCTTACGAACGGAAACTAAAGCCGTACACACGGCCCGTGGAACATGAAAGAGCAACTCGAGCTCAAAAGACCTTTGGGAGGAAGGACACCAGAGGCTCAGAGGCCACATATCAAACGGCCCTGAGGGAAACTCAAAACGAAAGCTCGAGTGACGGAAATGGAAAAAGCTCCGAGCGACATGTCGGAGATAACACGGTAGACCAAGCAAAGGTCACCGAAGAGAGAACGGCTTCAGATGGACAGAACAAAGATGACAAGAAGGCCGAGACCGGAGGAATGGCACGGTCGGCCGAAAAGGTCAAGGAGGAAAACGCGGATCAAACTGAGAAGGGAAATACCGAAGTCAGCCAAAAGGTCACCGAAGGTGGTGGCGCCGTCAGCAGCAACGAGCTGATCGACGAGGGAAAGGTCAAACAGGATGACCTTTCGGGAAACTCACTGTTCTTACAAGAACAGCTGGAAGAGAATGGTACCAGCCCCACGTCAAGTGACAAGTTTTGCACTGACGATGAGGACGAAACGACGATACGGACGTCTTTCCATACGGCAATGAAGGAGGCCAACTTAACGAAAGGGATGTTTGAAACGACCCTCCAGGACAAGTTAGAAGAGACCTTTGAAGGAACGGCGTCAGGAAGAGCCGACGACCGGGAACAAAGGTCATCATCACCAAAAACGTCTGTATTGAACGGATTAAAGCAGCGCGTCAAGGAACTAGAACAACTCCTCGACGAAAAGGAAGCGCAAGCTTTCGCTGCGATACGGGACCAACGCAACAAAACCTTTGAAGTCGAAGCCAGATTGAGCGTGATGGAACAAGAAAAGGTCACGTTCGAAGATGAAGCGCAACAATGGAAAGTCAGATTTGAAGGTCAGAAAAAAGCTGCAGAGGATCTGAGGAAAATGGTAGAAGATCGAGACGCGGAAGGTATACTCACCGCAGAAAACTACGGTCTGTCCGAGGAAGCAGCTGAAAGGTCACAGGAAATAGCAGAATTGAAAAAGGAGCATGACCTTTTACAGTCAAAGGTCAAGGAGGCCGAGAAAAAACGGGACGAATCTCTAGCAAATGCGACGAAGTTCACCGGAAAGGTCACCAGCTTGACGGCTGACATCTCGAAACTGAAGGATGACCTTAAATTACGCGAAGACCTTGTCAACACGTTACAAACAGAATTAAAAGAGATGAAAAGGAAACACAACGAAGCGGAAAGCCAGAGAGATCAAGCAGCAAAGGAACTGCTTGAACTGGCTGAAATAACAAAAACTGAAATCAAGCGACTCAATGACGAAATCGACAACCAAAAGAAAGAAGCAAAGAAGTGGTTGAAGGAAGCACAACGGTGTGACGAACGGGTCACTGTGCTAGAAGTCGTGAATAAAGAAGGAAAGACAGAAAATGAAAAACAAAAGAAGAGATCGCCAAATTGAGCGATGAATCAGTCGGATTGGCTACTTCCGTAATGGAAAAGGATGATAAAATTACGGAACTAAAAGTCCAACTGAAAGCAGTTGAGGAAGAGTGCCAAGCGAGAGGAAGGACCCTCGCAGACAGAGCGGATCGTATTACACGATTGGAAGCAGAAGCTGAGATCCTAAAAGCAGCGAAAATGGATCTCGATAAGACCCTTGATAACAGGGCCAGTACAATCCTCGAGCAAATGAGAAAGGTCACCGAAGCAAACAACGATTACGAGAAACTGCGGAAGGACGCAAATGAAACCGTGAGACAGCTACAAGAAACAATTAAACAAAGAGACGAAGAAATCAAGACTCTCAAACGCTCGGCAAAACAGAAGGAAACTGAGATCCAACAGCCAGAACGAATCGAATCTCCGCCCCCTGGATACGGTGAAGTCCACACCGTCGAAGGTAGCTTTCATTTCCAAGCTCCCTTAAAGACGGGGACTGGTCGAGGCGACGGCCATGATAAAGATAAGGTCAAAGCTGAAAAGGTCACCGACGATACTGAGTTGGCGAAGGGGCACTCAGGACCGACCGGTGGGGTCAATCCTCGGCAACAAGAAACAGGACCGAGGGAAACAATCGTCTACAAATCTGACCATTAACCAGATAATCATGAAGATCCACGAGTTCGCCAAAACGAGCAGGAAAGGGTAGCTCGTGAAGAGGAGAGGCGAGAAAGAGAATACCGCGCGGAATACCATGCTGAGGCACAGCGACTCCGTCGCAAAGAACGGGAATTCAGAGGTTACATGAGAGCCATGGCCCGGAAATCCGCGTTGATCGACTACAACGGCAACCGAGAAGCTCTACTTGGTTGGATCCGTCAGGTCAAGGAGACTCAGAAGACGTATGACCTTTCGGATGCAGCAATGATGCTGGAAGTCGCCAACGCAGTCAAAGGGGACGCGAAGGCATGGTTTGACGCGGAAAGAGAAATCGATGACGAAGAAGAGGCGGAAGAGTTAACCGTCGATGAATGGATGACAAAGTTCAAAGAACATTTTGGCGATCGTGACGAAGGGGTCAACGCCTTAAGAGAAGCGATGACGAGAAAGTTCGAGGCTGGTAAAGAAACGCTTGACCAGTTCTATCAGGCGATCATGCGCTTCAAGTCGAAACGGATCATAACTGAGAAGCAGGCTATCGGATTCCTGATTCAAGGGTGTAAGAATGACAGTGACCTTTATAAGGCACTCCGAGCACAGAAATTCCATAACCCAATGGATATCAAGGAATTCTTCCGCACCTGGTCGACTGGCGAAGAAAAGTATAAGGTCACGAGAGGCAATCGAGTCCAAGATGATTGCGTGATCATCCGATCGGGCCAGATCGAAGAAGTCGCGAATGGGCGACAGAACCAGTCGTGCTCGGCGCAGGCGTCAGGATACAATACGGAATTCCCGCCGTTAGGCACTCAAGAGATGACCTTTGGTAACGGTCGAAATGAAGGTCAGGTATCGTACGCGACGATCGCGGCGATCCAAACGGCCGTCCAAGAAGTAACCAAGCCTGCGATCGCGGCGATCCAAGCATCAGCTCAGCAGGCAGCAAGGCCGAAACAGAATCCACAAGGAAACGTGCAGAGAAATGCCCTGAATGGAGGGCTCGGTGGTCAAGGAATGGCTCAGACGAACCCGGGCTTTTCTGGCCAGGGATTCAACGGTGGCGGAGGAAATCAAGGAAACTTCCGACCGAACCGTGGACAAGGAAATCAAGGACCACGATACGGGTCGCGAGTAGAGCGCCTGTTCACCATGATCGACGGATGGGTGGCCAATAACGCACTGACATGCCAGAACTGCATGTACGGCAACCACTACACACAAGCGTGTTCGTTCGCGGGAACACCGTGGAATCAGAACCCCAACCGGGTCGTGTATGAAGAATGGTTGATGCTGCGTAACAACCATGGCGGATGGCGCAACGCAATGGCAAATGGTTACGTGCCACAATCACGCCAAGGCGGACGGTATGCTGGTCAGGGTGGCCAAGGGAACTTCGCCGGTCAAGGTGGCCAGGCCAACTACAACAATCAAGGAGGCCAGGGCAATTTTGGCGGCCAAGGGAATTTCGCTGGTCAAGGTGGCCAGTGGAACAACGGAGGTCAAGGCGGCCAGGATAACTTCGGAGGCCAAGGCAACTTCGCCGGTCAAGGTGGCCAAGGCGGAGGAAACGGCGGATATGGCCCGGTTAGAGGCGGCTTCCGAGGTAGAGGCAGAGGCCGCGGCGGCAATCGCGGAAATTACGGCGGTGGCCAATGGAATGGTGGTGGTCAAGGTGGCCAATGGAACGGTGCTGGTCAAGGAGGCCAGTGGAATAATGGTGGTCAAGGTGGCCAGAATTTTGCCGGTCAAGGTGGCCAGGGCAATTTCGCCGGTCAAGGTGGCCAGGGCGACTTCGGCGGGCAGCAAGGCGGCTTCGTCGGTGGGAACCAGAACGGTTTCGGTCAGCAAGGCGGAGGCTTTAATTTCGCCCCGGCGAATGGTGCCGGTCAGGCGCAAGGTGCGCCGGTTCAGGGAATGGCCCAGGGAAACGTTCAAGGTCAGTAGGCGCCGGTGAGCCTACTGATCGTCCGGAACCGAAACCACCGGATATAGAGGAGCAAGGTGCTCCGCTGCAGGCAAGGACCGCAGCGAGAAAGGGATGCTGCGAAAGTAACGCAATGACCCGGAAAAGAAATCCGAGGATTCGAGAAAGTAACTCGAAATCGAGCGAAGGGGCTCGTAAAGGTCAAGAGAAGGGTGTTAAAAGATTGCCGCAAGGACGGAAGAATTTGACCGAAAGGTCACCGCAGAAAGTAACTGCGGGGAGTCAAGAAAGTAACTTGACTCAGCCGGGGCCGACCGAAAGGTCACCGCAGAAAGTAACTGCGGGGAACAGGGTTGACGGAAGGGCCTCAACTCTGCATCCGGGACAGCAGAAAGTAACTGCAAATCAAGAAAGTCACGAAAGTAACGTGGCGGTGCAAGGACAGCAGACCCAAAGGTCACCGCAGAAAGTAACTGCGAGCAAAGGTCACGAAAGTAACGTGACGCTGCAAGGACAGCAGACCCAAAGGTCACCGCGGAAAGCAACCGCGAGGAAGAGTGAAGCTACTCTGCGAAAGACGCAAGCGGAAATCTCAAGCGGAGAGGATGATGAAACACATCACGCGAGATTCCGAAAGTTCGTCGAAAATACGTTTGAAGTTGACGGAATGACCGTAACCGTGCAACGAACGCACGAAGGCGGTCCAGATAGACCGAAATTCCTTGAGCAGATGGCAAAAGTATTTCAAGCAAGAGCTGCCGAGGAAGATCACAGAAGGGCCGTGACTGCGCAAGGAGCGCAAGAGACCGAAAGGTCACCTCAAGCGAGAGTTGAAGAAGTGAAAGGTCACGAGAGATTGCCAGTGCAGCAGACTCAAGAGTCACTGAAAGAGAAAGGTCACGGTGAAGTCGCCGATGAACCGAAAGGTCAAGAAAGTAACTTGACTCTGCGAATGGCGCAGCAAACAGTGAAACAGAGCGAAGGGGCACAGCAAGTCTCAGATGACTCTCTCGATGAGGCAAACACTCTACAACAAAAGATGGAGTGGCAAAAAGTGGCTTACAGACCAAATGGACGACATGGTATGTGGAAACCAGTTCCTCCGCCACAAAGGTCACCGCAAGATGTGAGAATTCCCAGAGAAGCTTACTGGGAAGAAAGAGAGAAACAAGACTGGCGGATGAGAAAGCATCTCGAAGAAATGGTAAAAGCTTCACAACCGAAAGTTCAAGAGTACTGGAAAGAGAAGAACCAATGTGACGAAAATAACCGTCAGTTTCGAGAGCGGATTGAGAAGGGTGAATTACCGCCTCAGTATGGTGAGAAAGTACCTTTACAAAGATCACTAAATGGTGGATTTTTCATGTCAAGACCGGAAAGGTCACCGGACTTAGCGCAAACTCCGCAGAAGGAGAAGTCGTATGACATGACAGAAGCAATCCGGAATGACAACGAAAGGTCACCGCCAAGAACTGACGGATTGTCATCTCAAATCGATCCAACTCGCACGAATAACGAAATTGCGAAGAAAATTACCGATTGGATGAAAGAAAACGACCATAAGATGATTGTGTACGAAAGGTCACCAGAAAAAAAGAGCGAAGATGACGAGATGACCTTTGCGGATGAAATTACGCAAGAGATAATGGCAAAGTTGCAAGATAAGCCGTCTAAAGACGTGCGCAATGAAAAGTCACAATACGAAGTTATTGCGCAAGTGATAAAAGGTCACGAGAACGCACAAGAGAAGGGTTTGACGTGCGAAGTGGCAAAGGTCACGGGTAAAGAAAACGCTGCGAAGGAGCAAGCGAATATCTTACCGAAGTCAAAAAGGATCGAAAGGTTCTCAGATGTGCGACCCGACGTACCGAAACGGATAGATCGTTGGAGCTCAAAAGGTCTGATAGAGAGCAAGCATGCTGCACCAATCCCAGTCAAGTGTCGAATAAGAGTCTTGAAACTCGAAGATGGAAACTTACCGAAACGGATCGAAGCTTATACACATGAAGTCAAAATTGGAAATAAAAAGGTCATGGCGATGCTTGACACTGGCGCAGAGACGTCTTTGATTTGTCAACAGTTCTGTGAAAGGAATGGCCTCCAGACTGTAAGACTACCACCGAAAAAGAAGGTGATGATCAAAGGGATCAGCGGAACGTCAGGCTTCGAAGTAACGCACTACTGCGTAACTCAGTGACCTTAAGAAGGAAAACGAGTCAACACTCGTTCTACGTCAGACCAGCGTCAGACGATGTCCAAGTCCTACTGGGATTCGACTTCCTCGCAAAGAAATTCATCCTGATAGACGGGGACGACGAGGAAGAACGAGAAACTGAAGCCGAAGATGACGAGCCGAAATCCTCTGCAAAAGTCAATGCAGGAAAGGTCACCGAACTTCAACAAAGAAATAATTCGGGGCAAACGGCTATCCCAGTACCAGAGGCACAGGGATCGAATGATAAGGAACAAAATGAGAATGGTGAAAATCTAATCCCAGTACCAGAGGCACAGGGATTGAAAATACTGAAAGAAGCAAGAAGGTCACCGAAGTCTAAAGGAAAGCAAAGGTCACCAACGATGGAACAAATCAAGATAATGCAAGCAGAAGCACTGATTGCAAAGAAACAGTCGCTAGTGCCAGGAATGGAGTGGTCAAGGCTACTCCCAGTACCAGAGGCACTGGGCACGAAAATGGTTGGGCCCAGGACAGAGCCAGGACTGATGAACAGCGACGAAAGAGCATTATTCTCAGAAATACGAGATCAAGCCAGAAAGCAACTGGATGCAAGGAAAACAGAGCATGGTGCTCAGCACACTTTCGAACCACGTGATAAAGCAAGAGGGCGGGTGAAAGGCCGAGACACGCGAGCGCGCAACGATGCAGCAGAGCGTAGTCGTCGTCTTACTTCCGAACCACGCTCTGCAGATGAAGAAATCGAAGTCATCGAAATATCATCAGATAACAGCGTAATCGAAATCGAAAAAGATGACGAATGGACAGATACCGATTCCGGAGAAGCGGATAAGCGAGTTATCGTCCGTCCTGAACCGAGACAACGGATGCCGGAAGGGAACAATCGCGTCATTTCCGCAAACCAAGAGAATGGACTGCGGAAGAGAGCAACCTCTTGCCATCACGATTGGCACGACAGCGATGACCTTTCGATAGCGCGACCTCAAGAAAGATGTGCAAAATGCATGCAAGAAATGACACAAGATGACCTTTCGGAATGGCCGAAATGCAATGCAGCAATTGCGCGTCATAAAAGACAAGAAGAAATAGAGGTCAAGTCGATTATGAGAACACTTCCCATGCCGGAACTGTCAAAAGCAACTTACCTTTGGCAATGTTATCGAGAATGGTTATCGGTAGTTAAGAACTACATCATCTCCAGAGGAAGTGGCTCCATCATTGGCAGCAAGAAGCGGACAACTTCATTCCCGAAAAGGCGGATAAAAGCGACCCGTGGTATACAAACCCGATTACAAAGCTCGACAGGAAAGGCGACGAGCAATGGAAGAGAACGAAATATGGGAGCAAGCGAGAGTTGACTTATTTTGGGAATTCAGAGTTAATTATCTATGGAAAGGTCAAGGACGAGCAATCATTTTCCCAATTGGACTCGGCACAGTAGTGTACGAATTATTTGACCTTTACCAGGCCTGCCTCAAAAGGGAAGCTTACGAGAATGGAATAAACAATGGGGCAAAATCCTCGAAGAAGTACCGATATTCACAGGAGAAATTCCAGAATTAAAGGTCACGCGAAAAGACGCGAACTTGGATTATTTGGCTATCCGAGAAAAAGAAGGTGACCTTTGCACCAGATCCAGATGGAGTGGAGTATCCCGAAAGAGGCGGAGATACTTGGTGCATGTATGAGACGGTACCGAACAATGACTGGACTACAGAAGAACTGATGGCAAATTGCGTCTTTATCGGCGATAAGAGACCGAAAGGTCATGGCACAAGCGCTGAAAAAGAAAACGGCACAAGCGCCGAAGAAGAAAAGAACAAAGATAACGGCACAAGCGCCGAAGAAACCAAAGAAAAAGAACAAGAGGTCAGCACAAGTGCTGCTCAAGAAAACAGCACAGGCGCCGAAGAAGAGAACCAACGCACACGGCGTATGAGTTGGCTCAGATGATCAAGGAACTGAACCAGGCGTTTCGGGATAAGGAAAACGGAATCCCGGTAACAGAGGCAAAAAAGGCTCAAATGTCGCCGCAAGAGAAGAAAGCAGCGTCGTTAGTGGCTTCACTACAAAGGTCACTCGGTAACGGTGAGGAAGGGCCACCAACCGAGAAGAACGAAAGGTCACTAAACGCGATGCTGGAAGAGGAGCCAGAAAGGTCAGTTCGAAAGTTGACGAAAGGTCACCTGAAACTGGCGAGGAAGGACCGCCAGTTGGAAAAGCAAAAAGGTCACAGAATACCGCTCAAGCAGATGATAGCTCGGAAGACGATGAAAGGGATAGGTCACGAGCAAGGATTCGTGCAACACGAACAAATCCGAGGATAGCAGCACGAAACGGACGAAAGTCCAAGGAAACGGACAAACCTCTGCCCGAAAAACGAAAAGTGAAAAAACTTAGCGCTTCCAAGGATGAAAGCGATGACCTTTCAACAGAAAGTGAAGACGAAGGCGTCGATGAGCGACCAATCGAGAAAAAGCAAAGGTCAAGAGCTTGAAGCTAACCACAGCAGCGAATCCGACTCGGAATTCTCGAGCACGAGCGATAACTCGACCACTTCTGAAGATTCTGGAGTGAGTGACCTTTCAGATCAAGAAGATCTGCTGGACCTCGACGAAGACGATGAAAAGAACGAACAACAAGAGAAAGAGATCATTGTTCGAAGAATTAAAGTGCAGAAAGCAAGAATCCCAGAAGGAGCGATCAAGGTTTACAGCGACCAACGAGTTAAGCTGAGACCAAACCTTGGCACACGCGTAAAGGTCAAGATGGGCGTTCATGTGCCACGGAATCAGAAGCTGATGTATACAGCAATTCCTCAAAAGGATAATGAAGTCCAACCGAGAACGGGAGTCACGGACCATAACGGCACTCGATTCGAAATTATTATCGAAAACCGAAGCAAAAGCCGAAAGACCGTAAGGAAGGGCCAATTTCTCGGTTACGTAGAACATTACGAACACCTAGAGAATGTAAAGGTCAACTCGGCTACCGTCGTGAAAAACATACTTGAAGATCCTGAAGTGGACGCAAAGACGAAAGAAGAACTGAACGACATCATTGAAAGATTAAAGTTGGGACCAGACCTAACTGAAGAACAGAAAAATGACGTGCGAAATGCATTTTGGGAGTTTTGGAAAGTTCTCCCCACGTCAAAGAAACCGTACGGCGATGTCAAAGGGGTAACGCACACTATTGACACAGCCGATGCCAAACTCGGTTAAATGCAATCCAGCAAGAACAAGTTGGAAAGGTCGTGAATTCATCACAAAGCACATCGAAGAGATGCTACAGCAAGATGTCATTGAACCATCCGATGCGGAATGGAGTTTTCCGGTCGTACTCGCCGCAAAGAAGAATGGCGACGGAACTATGGGAACAAGATTCTGCGTCAATTACATTTTGCTGAACAAGCTGACGAAAAAGAACAACTATCCACTGCCGAACCCAGACGAACTGCTTGACGCATGCGCGGGAAACAAGTACTACGGCAAGATGGACTTACAAAGTGGCTTCTGGCAGATCCCAATGGATCCAGCCTCGAAAGATAAGACAACTTTCGTCACGCAGGACGGAATGTTCCGTTTCAAAAGAATGCCTTTTGGAGTCTGCAATGGACCTGCGACCTTTCAACTTTGTATGGATAAAGTCTTGTCGAACGCAAAGAGAATGGGATGCGTTTTCGGCTATATCGACGATGTAATCTTCGCAGGAAAGACCTGGGAGATCTTCATGCAGAACTTAAGGAATGTCCTTCAAAGTTTGGTCGACGCAGGCTTCACAATTAAGCCGACGAAATGCGAATTTGGCATGCGCGAAATGGGATTCCTGGGGCATATCCTCAGCGAGAATGGTATTAAAATGGATCCCGAAAAGGTCATGGCAGTTAATGGCCAAAAGAAACCGACAACTGAACGGCAGTTGAGGTCATTCCTCGGATTAGCAAACTATTACCGAAAGTTCATCCTTGGATACGCGCAAAAGACGGCGCATCTTTACGAATTGCTAAGACATGACAAGAACATCAAAAGAGATTGGTCAGCAATCCATGACCAAGAATTCAATGACCTTAAAGAAGCGCTATGCAAGGATCCAGTATTGAAGAAGTTCGATCCGACAAAGCCGACAGTGATCGAGTGCGACGCATCAAAGGAAGGGCTAGGTGCGATCTTGTCCCAAGATGGACATCCCATTGCATACGCAAGCCGCGTTTTGCATGGAGCGGAAAAGAATTACGGAGTAACAGAATGGGAATGCCTGGCGGTAGTTTTCGCCGTCAGAAAGTTCAAGTCGTACATCGACTACTCCGAATTCACAGTGAGAACGGATCACAAAGCTTTGACGAACCTCTTAAGATCGGAGTCGAACAAATCATGTATGAACTTCCAAGATTGACAAGATGGGCATTGGCACTTCAAGGTCACCGATTCAAGATCGAATACAAGCCGGGCAAATACTGCGACAACGCAGATGCCCTTTCAAGAGCGCCAATTGAAGGTCCTACTTGCAACGAAGAAGAGTATGATGAAATCCCAAACTTCGAAGATTACAAGAACGAACTCAACAGAGAAGAACCTCCGATTGAAGTTTGGCAACTTTTCGTACAATTAGCCGAAGAAAGGGAAGAACGGCTGAAAGCCGACATGAGAAGGGTTGTGTCGGAAGAAAAAGAAAAGCGGAGACATGCGCTCGAGCATAAATGAAGCAGAGCGTAGTCGTCGTCTTACTTTCGAACCCCGCTCCGCTACCAAGATAAAGGTCAACAGAGTGAGAAAAGAAGCTTCCGAACGAAAAGATGGAAAGGTCACGAAAGACGGTCAGAAAATGGTAGACCAGAATGACCTTCGCGAAGCAGAAATTCTCTCCGAATACATTCCGGAAGAGTGTCCCATCAGATTGCTGAGATTCTCAAAGAAAATCGAGAAAGGTCACAAGCCTCTTCCGAGATGCAAGGTCATCAAAGATTGGAACGAACTCAGCACGGCAGTAGTCCGCATCGTCAACCTCCAAGGAGACGAAGAAGAAGAAGATGATACGAATTTGCAGTTGCGGAATAAGCAGCTAAAAGATCCGCACTTGGCAATGATCATCGATGAATTGGAGCACCTGCAAGACGCAGACAAAAGGTCAAAGTTTGAGACGCATTACCAGTTATGGAACGGCATACTGTATCGCGTCAAAGACCAGAAAGGAAGACTGGAAAGGACATATGTGGTACCGCTGCAAATGAGAAGGGCAATCATCCATGCACTGCATGATGAAAAAGCAGCAGGTCACCTTGGTTTCGAAAAGACGCTGACCGCGATCCGGCTCAGGTATTACTGGGACCGTATGAGTACGGATGTCAAGAATTACATTACAGCGTGTCAAGGATGTCAGTTCATAAAGACACCAAGGAAGTGTCCGCCTGGAAAGCTCCAAGAGATCAAAGTCGGACATCCATTCTTCAGAGTCTATGCGGATCTGAAAGGACCCCTACTTCCAACGAAGAAAAGAGGATACAAATACATCGCGGTCTTCATCGACCAGCTGACGAAGTATGTCATAGCGGAGCCAATGAAAACAGCTACTGCAAAGGAATTCGCAAAGATCTTTGTGAAGCACGTAATTCTGGTGCACGGAGCGCCACATATTCTCCATACGGATCGCGGAAGGCATTTCACCGCAGAAGTACTGAAAAAGGTCACCAACGTGTTCAAAATCAAACACACGTTTGGAACAGCATACCATCCTGAAGGTCAAGGACAGGTGGAAAGGCAGATGCAGACCATCAGTGATGGATTGTCGCAGTACCTGAAAGCGGGAAATGAAAGGAAGTTCAACAAGTATCTTCCCTACGTCATATCGGCAATGAACCGTGCAGTACATGCAACGACGGGGTACTCAGCGTACTACATGCTTCACGGGAGAGAAATGACCATGCCAGAAGACGTAGTGACGAAGACGAACGTTCCTGACGACTACGGTGCACCAGACGAATGGGTCGAAACCATGAAAAGGAACTTGACCTTTTCAGAAGAAGTGGCGAAGTGCAACATCAAAGATGCTTACGAAAAGCACGCGGAAATCTACAACAAGAAGAAGTCAGAGCCGCAATTCAAAGTCGGAGATCGAGTCTTAATTAGACTCCCGAAAGATACAAAGCAAGGAAAGAAGGAAAACCAATCCGACTTCAAGAATAAATATGACAAAGTGTGGAAAATTCTCAGTTTTCCGAGACCGAACGAAGTCGAGGTCATCGAGCAAGATGCGGTGAAAGAACCGGACCTACGAGTCGTTTCGGTGGATCGTCTGAAACCGTGGCATCCACCGTTACCGGTTCAGAAAGGTCAAGCTGAAAGGGCAGCTTCGGAGATAATTGAGAAAGGTCAAGATGAAGCAGAGCGTAGTCGTCAGCATACTTCCGAACCACGCTCTGTACCTGATTTGGCAGAAGAGCCAGAAGAGGCAGAAGAGCCAAAAGAGGCAGAAGAGCCAAAAGAGGCGGAAGAGCCAGTTAAGAAAAAGAGAGGACGACAGAAGAAAGAGATTAAAGACTTTGAGACGCCAGTCACGATGAAGCTTAATCAAGAAGCGGGGAACTTGACCACGATTGAGCAAAATGAAAGGTCACACCGAAATGAGGATAAAGAAAGCACAGAGCATGGATCTCAAGTGGAGCCTACTTTCGAACCACGCTCCGCTACTAACATTAGGGATGACCTTTCAAGAGCGAAAATGGTTGAGCCTGCTCGCAGAGTAGCAGAGCGTAAACCTCAAGATACTTTCGAACCATGTTCTGCTACCAGCGTCAAAGATGACCTCTCAAGAGCGGAACAAATAAAAGCCGTCAAAGAAAAAGCCGACCAACTTGGCCAACGGATCGCGAACGAAATTGAGAAGCGAAAGGTCAAGAAAATGAAGAAAACTCCGAAGCCGACTCCAGAACAGATTCTGAGAGGAGAAGTCCAAGACGAAGACGAAGCCGACAAAGCATTACTTGATCGGATAACTAAAGGACGAAAACAAATAAACCCGAAAATCAGGCTTATAGGAGTTTATGATATTAAGACTGGAAGTTGGGACGGCATAAAGGTCATCAGAAATAAACCCGCTAATCGAAGTCATTTCCGATCACGCCGTTGAATGAAAATCGCTCATGAACGATTGGCGCAAGACGAAAGGGAACGGAAGGATCAAAGAGCGAGTGAAACACTTAAAGGTCATCAGAATTCAGCGGGAAGCTCAGCCGGGGCAGAAGGTCACCCGAGCTAAAGGATACAGAGGAAGGAATTATTGACTTCGCTGAAAGTTGCTCATGAGAGAATGGTACTGAGCAGTTAAGGAGAAAAGGTTTAAAAAGCGATCGAGGCAGAAAGGTCATCAGACTTTAGCCAAAACGTTGGAAGAAAAAGGTCATTAGATTTTATCCGGAAAGCTGGCAGCTAAAGGTCAGCAGAAATTGCAGCGGGGGGAAGGTCACCCGTGCTCAAGCAAGAAGAAGAAGCGCCTATTTTGAAAGACTTTGATGGAAAAAGACGTAGCACTCATTCAGAAGCAAAAGAGGACCGAAATGTCATGGTGCTGATGAAGCAGAGAAAGGTCACCATACATCAGCAAGAAGCAAAGTGTGGGAGGAAGGTCCACCACACAAGATGAAGCTAACGCGAATCAGAAATGAGAATGAAAGCGCAGAGCGTGACTTACTTTCGAACCACACTCTGCAAGAAGAGTCAAATTAGCGAAGGGGCTAAAATACTTAGCGAATGGGCTAAGATGGGAAAGGTCACCCATACAGATGAAAATGGTTCAGTCAAAGAAGGATGACAAAGGTCATCATCAAAGAGCAGCGAAAAGTTTCAGCTCAGCACTGAATAGCCTTGTTATCATAGGCTTAAAGATAGACGTTGGAAAATGAAATCAGTAAAAGGTCACGGGACTTACAATTGTTGAGATTGCAGGTTGAAAGGTCAGAATGGCTGAACGGAGCCAACCTCATCAGAAGGCAGAGAAGGGACAAAGACCTTCGATCAAAAAGGACACCGGCGACCCGTTGACAAATTACAACGAGGATTGTCCGGATTGCAAGCGCAACAACATTCTTTCAAGTGAACGATTCCCTTGCTGGGAATGCGTGGTGGCCGTGCCGATGCCAAATCAGCTCCTGATAATACCGCACGAAGCAAGAAGAGGCAATTTAGATGTATTTCGACACCTGGTCAGAAGAAAAACGTGGCTAAAACTATCGCCCGAAGATAGAGTGATCTTGGAGGATAAATACCGAATGTGGGTAGGACGCAGACCTGGATGGGATGTCACTCTTGAACCTCCGAGAACTGCGGAAGCGGATGCGTTCAGAAAGAAGTTTAAAAAAGACACAGCAAGAACGATGCAGAAAAAGCGCTTGGAAGAAAGAGAAAAAGCTGCGGCAGAGAAGGGTTTAGCCAATGCAGCTAAAGGTCATGCGGGACTTGCAGTACCCGTTTCGGACGCGATATTGAATAAACAAGAGGTAGAGGAGGTGATAATCCGCGAATCACTTATCCAGCAATTGGATATCATCCTCAAGGATCCACTCTCACTAACGAAAGAGGAACATACGATATTCCTGCAAGAAAAGGTCAACCTGACGAAAGGGAGCCGATGGTCGCAGGTCACCAAAATTGTGATCGAAGACAAAGTCGAGGAAATGCGCAAGTTCTGTACGCAAGAAAAAGAAATGACGGAGACCTTTAGCAGTTTCAAGAGAGACGAGTTCAAACGACCGAAATCATCCTCGAAAAAAAGGTCAGCCGACAGAAATGGAAGGTCACGCGTTTACGAAAGGTCATTCGATCATTCTCGAAAAAGGTCACGAGAATCAGAAAGGTCACGCGTAGACGAAAGGTCATCCAATCATCCACGAGAAAGGTCACGGGACTTAAAAAGTAAGGATGGTTGACGCAAGAAAACATTTGATCTGCATTCAGCGCAGAGGTGACCGAAATCGGCACAGTGCTACCTGCAGCCGGAGCGAAGGAGACGAGCTGCAAGAGAGGGAAAGGGAACCTTGAGATCGAACGTCTGATCGTAATGAAAAAGAAAGACGACGTTTCGATCGGAACCGCGACAATGGTTCAAATGATCAGTGATGACCTTTAGGGCATCGCTGATGTGCTAGTTACGGCCATCAGTCGGCAGCACGAGAATGGTGATAAAGGTACAGTATCAGGGCGAAGGAGACATAACTTGTTGAACTGTCATATCGTTTGTGTTTCTATTGTTTTCAGAGTTTTGTTGCAGAGGATCAAGGCGATCCGAAATATGGGGAGTTACGGAGGTCATCCGGCCCTCGAAGCAGGAAGAGTAACGGCGCTAACCGGCCTTCCTCATTACATTTAAAACGTCACCTTTAGAGTGTAGTTGCGGCCTACTGAGTCGGCACACTCGCGGAATGACAGAAGCCACAAGGGTGAAAAAGAGAAAGAGTTCAAGAAAATAGGAGTAAAACTTTCAGATGTTGAGGTTACGGCGATAACCGGCCTCAGAAGAAAGAGGAGTTACGGCGTTAACCGGCCCTCGAACCTGGTAAGGAAAGAAGAAAAGTGCGCGTCAATTTGCACTATAAGGAAAAGAAAAGGATGTGCGACCGAAGAAAGTGGTTGAAGAGAATGATGACCTTTGCAAGGGAGGCAAGCAGAATTGCTTGGAAGCCAAAAATCGGCTAAGTTCCTCCATGACCTTTAATACGGAACTCATTATGGAAAAATGGATGACCTTTTGGGATCGTCACGGCCCAAACGAGTCGCACATCAAAGAGAATGGGATGACCTTTGAGAACTTCACTGCTCAAGAGAGTCATCGAGAAAAAGAGAATGACCTTACCAGAAGTCGTACTTGATACGTGAATTATCCAAAGATGAAGCAGCAGTATTCGGAAGTCGTACTTGATACGCACCTATTCCTAAGAAGCGGATCTCTCATTGTGATGATAAAGATTGCTCAAAAAAGCGGAATGGACCAAAGCGGATTACGGTTGACAGGACCCAGTGACCTTTAGGAGTCGGAGGATCCTAGTCGTTTTGATAATGAATTCTGTTGATATTTTTTTACTGTTTTTACTTTTGTTCCGAGATCTCTTTATTCACACATGTAATTGGAATTTGTGATGTTAAAGGGAGATTAAATCTCGATGTTTTATTAATCGCACAGACGAGCCGTCAAGGATCCCAAGGAATTGGACGTGGATTCTGCTTCGACGGAGCTCAGCCTCCCTCCCAGAGGCATGTGAGCGCAGGCGTACATGCGTACACCCTCGCTTGGCAGTCTGTTGCGTGTTCATAGCGCGCCCGCCTTACGCGTGGCGAAAGCATGGTGTTCTGCGCGCACCCGCATCATGTGGCGGCTACGTGCGCATTTTTCACGCTTGCTGCAGTCAGCAATGCGGAGTTGTCCACATGGAAATTCTTACGAATTTAGTGTTGTCATAAAGTTCTAGCAATCACGCCATTTCTCGCTTTCCATAGCGTAGGCGCTGTATAGCATTGCCAGATCTGTTTGGTAGGCAGAATTCCGTTAATTCTGTTCCTACGCGTGAACCTTCATCAGGTCCACGCTTATATCATGTTCTCACCGTAATGCGTTGACAGAATTCCAGGAACCGCTCTTTGACGGCATCCTGCGATTGTTGAATGAATGCCAGGTGTTTGGGGGAGATATCGTACGTATAGTATGCCGTGGTTGTTAGGACTTTGTGTACGGCACGCTCCCGTTCCGCAGCGGCCAAACAAGCGGTAGCTAACTGCTCCAGTTCGCTGTCGGAGCAAGCGGTGGTGTCGAGGTCCTTGAGAGCCGACAGTATTTGTGCGCAATCTTCCGACCATGATGTTTGCAGCGCTCGACGATACATTTAGAACACTCCGTTAATATTGCTTGCTGGTTAACAGTGCACAATTTTGCGAGGATGCGTGCGTAGGAGAAGGAATAATAAAGTACGATAATTGCACTCTAATACATACGGCCACGTAAAATGACAACTATACTGCCACTAAGACTTGGATGAGATAAAAACGGTGGATCAATACAACGAACCATTGCGTTTGTATCAAACTTAATCCAAGAGTGAATACCACGATAGCAAGTAATCTGTCCGTTCACAAAAAATAGTGCATAAAACCTAAATTTTTAACACAGACAGGGTTACTGTACGATTCCGGGTCGCAACGTCACTGAGAAAGACGCCACACGGAACTGTAACAGCAGAGCTAGAAATCTAAACAAATTGTAGCGCAATGGTGAATTGTGCAACGATTACGAATGTGGTCGTGACTTAAGCAAGCGCGCTGGAAGTGTGGAAAACGAATATCACCAGTTCACACCGGCAGCGACAACACTGCAACTAACAGCAGCAGGAACTGCTGCCCCTGTTCAGCATTCGATTTGGACCACGGTAACTCAATAAAATGGTCATTTCTGCCGACATCACGTTTTTTAAAAGACAACTAATTTTATTAGACAAAACCTTTGAACGCGTTTTGGTGTGTCAGGTTTATTGAAATTGGACATTGAAAAGTTTATTATCCAGTTTATTGAAATTTACTGAAACTGGACAAAATGGCTATATATCTGTATCATGTATGTACAGGCAGAATCAATGCTATTGTCAACAGCGAGCGTAACAAAATATCAACAAAAAAATATTTTTTTTCCATTCTGGATCTCACATCTATCTATTCTTGTTGCCAGTCGGCGGCTATCTATTTATTTATCAGCCCAACACTGCATCAAACCAGACTCAAGCGGAATTGCTCTGAATGGAAACGTCCGACAGAAACGTGAAGACACGAACCAAAACAGCGCGTAGAAGAGTCCGGTTACAGCTCCGGGTCGCAAAGTCACTGAGAAAGACGAACCTGTGACAGCAAAGTTTAAAAATTCTAAAACGGCTGCAGCACAATGGGTAGTAACGCTAGTGGCACTGACTACAGTGAGATCTAACGCCTAAACAAACTGCACCGCGATGTACAGATATTAGTAGTGAGTCTAGTGACACTACCCGTACTGATTGTGACTGTACAGATAGTAACTGCGACTGCGGCGGACAGGCTGGAACATTGGAACGGCCCGCGCTCAAGCTCTGACTCAGACTCTGACCGCTCAAACTCTGA